TAAAAGATGTCATACTTGAGAGGAAATTCAAGTATATCAGGAACCCTTAAGTTTCTGTTTGATAGTGGACTCTCAATCTTTCTACAGCCAGAGTTAACCCCAATTAGAAATATTTCTCATCCATAGACCTCTGTTTGATAGCTCCTGTATGCCAAACAAACTGTTTATTGACTAGTAGAACTAAATGCTTTGGAGGAACATGAAGTAACCAGGGCTGCCCTGCTGAATTCATATCTTTCTGATCTCAGAGAATACACTCTCAGCTTTACTAGGAATAAAGTAAAGTTTTATTGAGTTTTATGTGAGTTTTTTTTTTTTTTTTGAGATACACAGGGTCTTCTATAGCACAGGCTGGCCTGGAAATCACTATGTAGCCAAGGATGACCTTGGTACTTCTCATCCTCCTGCCTCTGTCTCCTGATTGCTATGATAAGTGTGCACCACTGTGCATATTAGGCACATAGTCTGCTGAGCCCTTGGATGTCTTGAACTTTTTAAAAATAACTTAAGAATCATGTTAAGACTGGGCATGGTGGTACATGCCTCTAATCTCAGTACTAGGGAGGTGGAGACCTGAGGGTCTCTGTGAGTTTTGGGCCAGTCTGCAGTCTGGTTTGCATAGTGAATGCCAGGCCAGCCAGAGCTACATAATGAAAGACCTTGCCTCAAAAAAGAAAAAAAAAATTGTATGATCACTTATTAAGACTTTTGACATACACATCCTTCGGAAACCCAGTTGTGTGTAATAGAGAGACAGCTCCCCCTGTGTATAGCAATGCACCGCAAATAGGCCAAAGGTGGGACCGTCTATTTATTTGGTTTTTTTGTTTGTTTGTTTGTTTTTTAATTTTTCGAGAGAGGGTTTCTCTGTGTGGCCCTGGCTGTCTTGGAACTCACTCTGTAGACCAGGCTGGTCTTGAACTCACAGAGATCCACCTGCCTCTGCCTCTGACTCTGGAGTGCTGGGATTAAAGGCGTGTACCACCACCACCTGTCTTTTTCCTGCTTTTTAAATAAAGGTCATTTAAATTGAAACCAAGGCCTCATAAATACTAGGCAAGACCTCTCCCAGGGAGCCATACCTTCATGCCCTAAGGTCATTTTTTAATATAAAAGTGATTTTTTTGTTTTTGTTTTTTGAGACTGGGTTTCTCTGTGTTGTTTTGGTGACTGTCCTGAATCTTGCTCTGTAGACCAGGCTGGCCTCGAACTCACAGAGATCCATCTGGCTCTGCCTCCTGAGTGCTGGGATTAAAGGCATGAGCCACCACTGCCTGGCGTGAATTATTTTTTTAAAGTGATGTTTACTTAGAATGTAGAAAAGTTTCCTATTGTTCCACTGCTTAGACATTCCCATTTGGTGCTTCCTCCTCCTCCTTCTCCTTCTCCTCCTCCTCCTCCTCCTCCTCCTCCTCCTCCTCCTCCTCCTCCTCCTCCTTCTTCTTCTTCTTCTTCTTCTTCTTCTTCTTCCTTCTTCCTCCCTTCTTCTTGTTCTTCTTCTTCCTCCTCCTCCTCCTCCTCCTTCCTCCTTCCTCCTTCCTTCTTCCTTCTTTCTTCTTTTTTCTTCCTTCTTCTTTCTTTTTTCTTCTGCTATTCTTATTATTGTCCCTGTAGTATATGATTCTATATTCAGCTTTAGTTTTTCTAACTTGTAAGTGCATATGTATGCACATGTAATCACACATAAAGTATGTATATAGGCTGGTGTGGGACACTTACAATCCCAGAACTGGGGAGGCTGAGGCAGAAGAAGCTCTTGATGATAGCAGCTTAGGCTGTTTAGCAAGACCCTTCTCAAACAAACAAACAAAATAAAACAAAAACCTTTGTCAAACATGGCAACACATACCTTATAATCCCAGCACTGGAGGTGTAGGTGGGAAGATTAGGATAAGAAAACTTTCTTGGCTAAAACTAAATCCCATTGTGCTTCAGAAATTTATACATGATGTAAAATGGTCAAGCTGATTGATAGACATGTGCATCCTATTTTATTTATGTGATGACACCTAAAGGCTGTCATACTGTGATATTGTGCACAGAAGTGTGTAATACTGTTGTTTGTGGGATTCTTTTCAGCACCAGATGCCTCTCTTCCGGAAGAAGATGGTGTGGGAAATCCTCCACCAGCAGTTGCTGTGACAATGCCCTGCCCTGGGCCTTCTAGCTGCTGGTGGTTCTTTCATGGATGTTTCCATATACCTCATGCATTATGGGTTAAAAGTCCCCGTATCATTTCTGTTCTCTCACAGGTACTGAGCTATCAAGAGTGCATGAAGGCCTCTCCACAGTAGCCCTGACTTGAGGTGTGGAGGGGCTGCTTGCAGCCCTGTTTGTAAGGCTGTGCCTGCCCAGAGCCCTGGACTGTTCACCCCATACAAGAACAAATGCTAATTAATATTTTTTGTTTTAAAGAGTTATTTCCATATGAATGTGGGAAATGCAGGATTTGTTCTATGAATTGTTGTTTTCTGTATATTTGTTCACATGTATTCATTCACTCACTCATTTGCAAACATTGGGCAGTGCCCTTTTCTCACTGCTCTTTTATAATTAACTATAAATAATTTGTTTGAACTATTTATTTCTGAAAAGAATGTAATCTAACTGCCACTCCCTGCTGCAGAGGGACCTCAGCAGGGGGAGGAAGGAAGTTGACTAGCTTCTCTAGTGCTGGAGTAGGAACTGCCGACATGAAGTTAACCTTCTCCCTTTAGAGGCTTGAAAATGCCAGAAGAAATGACGATGCTGTGTTGTATTGATCTAGCTGCCTCTTAGAGAGTCTGCCGCTATGACACAGGCACAGTTCATGGAAATGTGGCCAAGGACCTCAGTCTCTGCATCCTCAGAGCAATGCATGCTCATCTTAGAGACTTTCTTTTTTAGAACTGAAGTAGCTTGGCTTCCTCTCAAAACTGGATTCAAAGTAACTGTGACCATAAATGTTTCATCCTAGGTGTGGTTGAGTATGACCCTCACAATGGTAGAGGGCTGGCCTGAACTGTCTGTTTCAGAAGATGCTCCTCAATTTAAGCCTATTTTTCCTCAGAGGGTTTTTTTTTTTTTAATATATAAATATATAAAAAGCTGAAATTAAGTTCTTGGCTCATTAGCATGCCCTACTCCAGTCCCACTGAGCCTCCGGAGAGAGATTTAGTCCGTGGCTCTGAGGTCATCTTTTACAGTCATCTATTTTGCATACGAAAGTTTGTATTTAACTTTTTTGTTCATTAAAAATCTTACAGATGTGGTTATGCATTTTTAATTTCAGAAAGTTGGTCAGAGCATATTTTATAAGATCTAGTGCCTAGTGTTGCTTTTATCATGTAATAAAAGACTGTCTGGCAGAACCTAGAATATGCTGATAATATCTCCTCTTTTGTCAGCTTCAACTTTCCAAACTTGTTCTGGAAACAAACAAAGAGAAGAGATAAACTTAGAAAAGCTGCCTGCATGTTAGATACAGATGTACATATCTGCTCTTGAGAATCCTGGGTAAGCTGCTTAGAGGTTGTAACAGTTGAAATCTGTTTTTTCTGAGACTTGAAGTAGCCTTGGTATGGAAGCTGGGCCTGTGATGTGGACCCAAATGACTGAGCCTACCCAACGAGACCTGATGGCCTGGCCAGACCTGAGAGCATGTGGTCCAGTGATTCAGGGGTGAACTGTTTGTGCTTCTTCCTCCACAAGGACAGACTGTACAGAGATCCCTTCCTTTAGCCTAGACCCTTTTCCTGCCCCACCCCCAGGAGCTGTGCCAGTGATGCTGGGATCTGGCAGCTGGTATAACCAAAGGAGCTCAGAAGTTGACTGTGTCTACACTGCTGAAAATTGGATGCTAGAATTCTACCTGAGAGTTTATGGCTCAGATCTACTGAGATAACTGCCTGACCTGAATTTAATCCCCTGCACCCACCATGGAAGGAAAAACTGACTCCCCTAAATTATCCTCTAACCTGCACACTGGCACACACCAACAGGTGCACCGTAATAGTAATAAGTAGATTTTAAAAGGAATTAAGGGCCTTGGATAAGGTTTGTTTCTGTTGGCTTTGTTTTCTTGCATGGTGATTTGTTCTCCACTCAGGTGAGTGGTGCTGTGGTTGATGTGGTATTTGAGGGGCATCCTCTGAGCTTACCACCAATGTTTGCTCTTGAGTGCTATTCTTAATTCAGAACACGAAGCTGGAGAGAATTCACTCCCAGTCTCAGCCCAGCACCCATGTCATAAGCTGGGCAGCTGCTCACATCTGCAATCCCAGTTCTGAGGGAATAGAGGCAGGAGGACCAGACCCTGAGGAACAGCAGGAGTGATGGAGGACACTGACCCCTCTTCCGGCCACCCCGTGTGCACATCTGCAGGCAGTGCACACACCACACTTATGCAGACACACAGTAAGTCTACACAACAGCAAAGTAGAGGTACAGACGTGAAGCTACAGGTGCACTACTCTGCCTGAATTCCAGAATCCAGGCTAAGGCACCGCAACCCATGGTTCTCTGATATGTCTCCCTTGGTGTGAGGAAGTGTGTGGGTAATAGAATTGTTACAGTCAAACAGATTATGAAATAAAAATAGGTGATAAAAACAGCTATTGGTGTAACTAGTGAGTCAGCAAAATTAAAGCCAGTGATTTGTGTGTGTGTGTGTGAAATTTTAATTTTGGGACCTGAAAAAGTGTTGCATTGTTCTGTTTAGCCCACAGTCTCTGAAAATGAGTAAATTTTAAGAAATTCATAGTGTTGGTGACTTCTCTTTCTGTAGTTGACTGCTTTACCCTTGTGCTTTACCTGGAGTTGGGGTGGAGGAAAGCTGTCCAACCACCCCTGCAGATTTTGTATCCTATCCAAGTTGATTAAGGCTGTTAGAACCCCCACTCCTTCTCTCCTGAGTCTTGGACACAACTTGGGGACTGCTGAGGGGATGCTGGGTGTTCACCTACACCGAGAAGATGCTTGTGATGCTGGGGCCTTGTGTGGGTGTGGGGAGTCTTCCTGAAGATACAGTAAACCCCAAATACATAAACATAAAATACTGTAGTCAACCTGTAGCACAAATCTTAAAAGTTCTTATTAATAAACATATCCAGAGCCAGGTAGGAATGCTGAATGATCAGAGAAACAGAACAAGCCACAGCCACCTCACCTTGCCAATTCCTCAGCTGATCCTGTTTCCTCAGGCTGGAAGCCTGTGAGTCTTCATTCAAAATGAATCTCAGCTTTACTGCTGCTCAAAAGCCTAAAAGCTTAACCAGGCTAGTTCCTGGTCCTCACACCTTATATACCTCTCTGCTTCCTGCCATCACTTCCTAAGATTAAAGGCGTGAGTCACCATGCCTGGCCGTTTCCAGTGTGGCTTTGAACTCACAGAGATCCAGATGGATCTCTGCCTCTAGAATGCTAGGATTAAAGGCATGTGCCACCACTGCCTAACCTCTACGTTTAATATTATGGCTGTTCTGTTCTCTGACCCCCAGATAAGTTTATTGGGTTGCACTATATATCAACCACAGTCAACCACATTATTTAAATGGCTTTGTGAGCTAATTTTGAGAAGACCTCCATATCAAATAAGTTTTTAGAATTTATTTGTAAGGTAGAGATACAGCTGGCTTGCTAACTTATTGTTTTAATTTAATGTACACAGGGATAGGCAGGTGGCGGTGGTGCATGCCTTTCATCCCAACACTTGGGAGGCAGAGCCAGGAGGATCTCTGAGTTTGAGGCCAGCCTGGTCTACACAGCAAGATCCAGGACAGACTCCAAAATTACACAGAGAAACCTTGTCTCGAAAAACCAAAAAAAAAAAAAAAAACAAAAACAAAAAACCATACACGTGTGTGATTTTGGGTGTGTTGGAATAGATAATTTTATCTATTTATGAGGAAATTATTAAGTGGGTTTTTAGATTTTTGTATTGAAACTCAATATATTTTATCTTATAATCAATATATAACGCATGTACACAATTATTTTGTGAAATAAATGTTTGCTTTTTCAGGCTGGAGAGAGGGCTCAACAGTTAAGAGCCCTTGCTGTTTTTGTAGAGGACCATAAATTTTAATCTCAGCATTCACACTGGGCAGCTCAGAATGGCCTATAATTCTGACTCCAGGGAATCCGCCACCCTTTCTGGGCCCTGCACACTCATACATGGTATACACTCACATAGACAAACACACAGTCGGACCAGCTAGAGAGATGGCTCAGTTGTTAAAGAGCACTTGCTTCGAGCCTCAGGGGATCCAATGCTCTCTTCTGGCCTCCTTTGGCACCCATACTCACATGCACAAACCCCCACACAGATAATTAAAAATAAAAATTTTGAGACAGGGCCCCCACCTGTCCTATAATATATAAATCAGGCTGGCCTGGAATCCACAGAGGTCTGCCCACCACTTCCTCACCAGTGCTGGGATTAAAAGCATGCACCAGTATGCCTAGCTCTAAATTTTCTTTTTCCTTTCGAAAAATTTATTTGTTTATTTTTTTTTTTTTTTGGTTTTTCGAGACAGGGTTTCTCTGTGTAGCTTTGTGCCTTTCCTGGAACTCACTCGGTAGTCCAGGCTGGCCTCGAACTCACAGAGATCCGCCTGGCTCTGCCTCCCGAGTGCTGGGATTAAAGGCATGCGCCACCACCGCCCAGTGGTCGAAAAATTTTTTAAAGACAGGAAATGGGCCAAGAGGGAGGAAGGGAAGGAGGGTGAAAGAGAGGCACAAGCTAATTCAAGATGATCCATCTAAACCTAGGCAAACAGGCTAGAAGCTTCCAGATCCTTAATGGAAATCTGTAGGGTAATCACTCTGGTTTGTACATTGGCATTTCCAGTAGAAGTCCTGTTACTTCTCTACATAGGTGATAAGACAGGGAATCTGGGATTGACAGGATGGCCCAACAAGCAGCTGAGTTCACTCCCTAGAACCTGTGGGGGAAGGAGAGAACCACCATCCAAAAGCTGTCCTCTGACCTCCATATGCAACGCCAACACACACACAAATTCAGATTTAGAAACACAAAGGAGTCTGGCTGAGTGAATGTGAGAAGTGTGTCTTCTTTCTGAACATGCATAGCCAACACGAAGGTTTTACATTAACAAATTATGTCTTTGTTTTTGTTTTGTTTTGAGAAAGGTCTCTGTAACTCAGGCTGGCCTGGAACTCACTTTAAAGTCCAGACTGTCCTCAAACCTACTGCCTCCTGAGTGCTGGGATTACAGGCATGCACAACTATGCCTAGCTAAATGTCTTAGCCTAGCATCTTTCAAATGTAGATACTGAGTCCTTGTCTCCAAGACCCCTATGGAACTGTTTACATGAAACTGTTAGAACTACAGAGTTCTTGGGGGCATGTGATTCAAATATATAAAGAAAAGTTCTACACCCCTGCTGTAAACCCCCCCCCCACACACACACACTACATGTCATATGTCAAACATGTTACACACATATTTGGCAGTCATAAAGTGTGATTCCTAAGTATCTGACATCTTTTATAATCTCATTTAGTAATGTCAATAAAAAGTACTTATGGTAGAAAAATACTGATAGCAGGTAAAGAATAAAAATTCTGGCCACCTACCACCCCACTCCATACCCAGACTTCCCACATCTTCCAGGGTCCCACAGCCAGTCCCACCACCATCTCCTCTTCTGAAGTCAACCTCTAGATGTCCACTAAGACCTGCCCTACCTACGTCCATCTGCAAGACCCTTTGCCCTGCCTGCACCACCCCACATCATATATCAATCCATTCATAGTAGGCAATTTCACTGGCCCACTTTCTCCAGTAGATCATCTGGACAAAAAATAAACATCTGAATTAATTGACATCATACATTAAATGGACTTCACATATCTACAGACTAGTCTATGCAAACACCAAAGAATATGCATTCTACTAAACAGCACATGGAAGCTTTTCTAAAAATAGGCCACATCCTGGGTCACAAATGATTACAAATTCAAAATGATTGAAATAACTTCTTGTATCCTATCTGACCACAATGCAATAAAACTTAAAATTGATACTGGACAGTGTTGGTCCATGCCTCTAATGCCAGCATTTGGGAGGCAGAGACAAGTTTGAAGCCAGCTTGGTCTACAAAGTGAGTTCTAGGACAGTCAGGGCTGTTACATAGAGAAACCCTGTCTCAAAAAACAAAACAAGAGAAAAACAAAAAGCCCAGGACCAGATAGATTCACAGCAGAATTCTAGACATTCAAAGAAGATCCTTCTTAAACCATTCAAAAGAGTGCTCCAAACTCCTCCTATGAAGTCAGTATCACTCTGATACCTAAACCAGGTAAAGGCAAAACACAAAAAGAAAACTACAGGCCAATATTCCCGATGAACATAGACTCAAAAATAATAAATACTTGCAAACAGAATACAGACATAACATCAAAAAGATTATCCACCAAATTGGAATTATCCCTGAAAAGCAGGGATGGTTCAACACATGCAAGTTGATAAATAAATGACATAAATGGACTTAAAAGCAAAAATCACATGATCATCTCAATAGATGCATCTCAATAGATCTCAAAAAATACTTGACAGGATCCAACATTCATGATAAAAGTACTAGAGAATAGAAGGCTAGAGGAAGTAAAAGCTATATACAAGTAATCCACAGCCAACATCTTTCCTGATGGAGAAAAGCTTGAAGCAATCCCACTAAAGTCAGGAACAAGACAGGTCTCCTATCCCAACTCCTTCTCAATGCTGTGCTCGAAGCACTAGCTGCAGCAATAAGGCACGAGAAGGAAATTAAAGGGACACAAATAGGGAAAGAAGAAATCAAACTATCCATTTGCAGATGACACACTATACACGAGAGATCCCCAAAATCAAAATCCTACCAGAAAACTTCTGGAGACAATGAACACAGCAATATGGCAGGATACAGAAGCCATGTGGAAGAGGAGGTGGAAAGTTGTAAGAGCCAAAGGATCAGGGAGTTTGCTGTGGGACTGTGTCTCCTAGCCATGTCTGGCCAGCATGACTGTCCAAACATGAGCTGAACAAGGAAAACACCAATGGACATGACAATCTAGATAGAGAACCCACGAGGCCTCAACCCTACAGAGAACTATACAGATAACTGAGGATGGCTAGAAATGGGAGGTGGCCTTCCCAGAGAAGTGCATACCAACTGATTCAGCACCCAATGGTCATCCCTGTAATTATACACACAGGTAGCAATATGGACCGAACAGACTCTACTTAGGAATGCATATGTATATCCATATCCATATATGCATGCAAATAACAATTAGTAAAAAAAAAAAAGGACATAAATTTGAAGGAGAGCAGGGAAGGGTATATGGGAGGGTTTGGAGGGAGGAAATAAAAGGGAGAAATGTTGTAATTAAATTATAATCTTAAAAAACTTTTAAAGGAAAACAGAAAAGAATAAAAATTCTCAACTTAACCACCCAGAGTTAGCTTGTGACTTTGTTTGGCATATATCCTGGCCGCCTTCCACCATATTCATGCTTATGTGTGTGTATTTTTAAATTCACAAATATACCAAGTTGTGCTTATATGATACCTTTTTATCATTTTTATTTTTACACAACATTTTGGCAATTGATTCTGACCATATCTTCATATCAATGTCATAATTACTTCACAATCTAAGGTACAATTGTAACTGTAATATCGTTACATATAACATTTTATACAATATATGGCTTTTCCTCTTAGAACAAAATGGAATCATTAAGATCTAGGTTGCTGGGTATAGGCTGGTGTCTAGGCTAACACTTAGGTGTGTGTTAACTGCATGGGAGCACACGCCTGTAGCCACATACGCTCCAGAGCTATAGTGATTGTCCTTTCTAGCATGAACTAAGGGTCTGTGTCTCCAGGAATTTAATGTCTACATTTTTCACAGGTGGGCCTTTAATCAGTGCACAATGAAGGATAGAATGAATCATCTCAGTGGATGACTTGAGCTTCACAGATATTTTATAAGAAACTTTTTGTAAAAATTTGAAGAGACAAAAAGAGAAAATAAGATAATGAGCCTTTACGCAAATATGTTCTGCAGTTACTAAAGTACAAATAATTCTGATAGGTGTGGCAGTGCACACCTTTAATCCCAGCACTTGTGAAACAGAGTTCTGGGCCAGCCTGGTCTGCATAATGGGTTCCAGGCCAGCCAGGGCTACATAGTGAACCCCTATCTAAAAAACAAAAGAAAAAAATGCTGATTTATTTCACCTATTTCTTTCTTTTAATGGGGGATGGTCAAACCTGGCAAGCAAAACCCTGATGAGCTGTCATATTCTTCTACTTAAATGCATCAGAATGTCTCCCTCACAACAAAGAGAGTCATTTCACATTTAACAAAATAATTGATTAAAAAAATTCCAATATCCAGTTCATTTTCATAGCTCCCTGATTATTTTAAAAATATGTTAGAATCTAAACTATTTTGGGGTTTGCTCCATTTATAATGTGTACCACACTCTGCACCTTGCTACCCAACCAGGAGCTAAGACTTAGGTTTTGAAGTTGATTTTCTCAGGTAGTTGGTTTGGTTTATTAGTCAAGGACCACCTTTAGCTGACTTTACTGCAACAAGAACCCAGAATGTCAACTTGTGCCAGTTAGTGGCGCTGGTTGTGATCAGCGGTGCAGGCTATGTAGGTCTGAAATCCATTTTAAGTTTTGATAAATCCTTTTAAAGTATGCGTGTGCACGTGTGTGCACGTGTGCTATTTCATTCACAAATATAAAATGCTGATTTTATATTTCTGTCACTACTCCTGTGCTCATGAGCTGGAATTGTTCTAGGAAGGAAAAGCTCCCAACTATTTGGCTGTGTGTGTATTTTACACAGTGGGGGACGGCATGGCGCTTAAGTTCATTGTCATTGTTTTGTTACCACACAGTCCCTGCCTTAAACTTGGAATCCCCTATTAGTGTCCTGATTTCTTTTCATAGGTCATTTAGAAAGCCATATTTGGGCACAGTTGCTCTCATCCCTGAGTTATTGGTACTTCCAGACTTTTGCAATAGAAGAGGAAATGCCTTTCTTTGAAGAGAAGAATTGGCTATCGGGGACTACGGGGGTCCAGCCCCTCGATTGTCCCCTCCCAGGGTCCGGGAAGAATCTACAACCAGCTGGTAATTAATCTTTGATGGGAAGAAATGAATCTATGTACACAAAACTCCTTAGTCCATAAACTTTATTATTCTGTGTCAGTTACAAGCTTATATTCTGCTCTCATATTTAGGTCTTTTCTTGCCTGATTTCTCTCTACACTTGTCCGCGGTCCCCTCTGGGTTCTATCTTAATTCCTTCATCTTGTTCTGCCCCTTCTAGGTTCTCATCCATCTTGTTCCTTCCCATATCATCTTCTCTCCCATCTCTTTCTCTCTCCTCATCTCGTTCTTCCTCATCTTGTTGTTCCCCATCTGGCTCATCCTCGTCTTCCATCTCATTCCTCTAGTCCTCTCTTCTAGCCCTTCAATCTAGTTCTTCCCCATCTCAGTTTGTTCCTCTCAAATTCTTACCCGTCTAGTTCTTCCATTCTCTTTTCTCTTCTCCCACCCTCTACCCTGGAAGTCCCGGTATATAAAAGGAGGGTCCGAACTAAATTGTGTAAAGTTATTACTTAACGTCCACCTGACCTAGGCAGTGTCTCCTTGTAGAATTTACCTTAAGTCAGGAGACTTGTATGTGGGCTGTTATCATTGTTAGTCCTCGGAAATTGGGCGACCACCTGGGCGGTGTCTCCTTGTGGAATTTACCTTAAGTCAGGAGACTCGCCTGTGGGTGGTTATCACTGTTAGTCCTCGGAAGTTGGGCAACCACCTGGGTGGTGTCTCCTTTAGCCCTTGAAAGTGGCTAGGGGAGATATCTGATTCCAGAGAAAGCCTTTCCTGAGGCTGTTCTCCAAATGCCTGGAATGTGTATGTCTAGAGAGTGATCAGTCCACATTGTTAGCCGTTCTTAGGGAAAAGTCAATTGGGAAAACTATGAAGGCACACATGATTTTCATAACAGAAGACAGCTGATATATAACAAGCCAAGTAACACCAAAAACTCCTTGGGATTTGGCTTCCTCTGGAGGAATTCCCTGATTCCTCCAGGTAGTGACTTTGCCATAACCAGCTGAGTTCTTATGATATATTCCTGCGGCCCGCAGCAATTGGCCATCATGAAGTACAGTACAGTGGCATTTAAAATAACCCAGACTGTAGTCTTGGACTTAGATGAGTTGACTTGCTTAGATAGCAGCTGTTGGATGTCACAGTATGATGAGTTCACAATGAACGTTCTATGACATGCTGCTGACATGTACTTAGATATGTTCGTGCCTCAGTGCAGAGCTCCAGTATACTTTGAGTTCGGCTCACTGTACACGTTTATAAATACAGCGATAATTGTTTAGAGTTAGAGTATAATGGGGAACTGCTGTAACAATCCAGGTATGACATTACTAACCATTGAATACTTCTTCAATTAGACTGGTTAATGTTTCTCAAAATATCTTTAAATATTTATAACTTCTGTGTTGTTAGAATTATTTTTATCATGTATTATGTATATTCTATTCTCTATGAAATACTTTGTAATGCAGTCCAGAGGAGGCTAGCTCCCCAGAACTGTTCCAGGGTTGTGAACAGAAGACCTCTTTCAGAGCTATAGCTGTCTTCATGAATTGTTCAGAACCTAAATATAGAGATGTTCATATTTGTGAAGAACTGTTAATTAAGGTTGTATGTTTTCAATGATCTTATAATACTAGACATTTTAATATGTAATGTTAATCCATCAAGAATTCTGGGGTTCATTTCATTAAACAGGTATACACTGACCACGGTAAAGCAGCTAGAATACTCTCGTGAACAATGCTGGCTATTTTTAGGCATGGACATTTGATTGATTGTATACTTAGGACAACATAGGAATCATTTAAAAATCTACACCTCTTTTCAATAGAGATTGGTAAATTTGAAATGTAGGTCTTTAGGACTAGCAGTCATATGCCATTGAAGAACAGTGACCTGGGAATTTAAAATTCAGAACTTTGGATAGCAGGATATTTTACAATAACTAACCTTCCCAAGTGTTGACACTGCTTGGGTTATATTCATTAAATGACTCAGCAACAGCATAGACACATGTTCTTCTTTATTGACTATGTGAATTCCCAGGGTGGAATAAACACACACACGCACACACACACACATACACACACACACACACACACACACACAGAGAGAGAGAGAGAGAGAGAGAGAGAGAGAGAGAGAGAGAGAGAGAGAGAGAGAGAGAATATGCTCTTAGGTAGAAGAGCCAAGATGTGAACCCAGACATATTGCCCACTATCCTGAGTCTCTAAAATGTTACTTTATTCACCAAACAAGGTGTTCTATCATCTAAGTACATGTCAGGATATCTGCAAGTCTGTAGAAGTCCTAGGTACTATCTACTTTATGACATAGCCCAGGACAGGTATTGTTACATCAGTGTCACATTTCATCCTAGTCATTATAAGGAAGTACCAGTACTTCTCATCAGTTCACAGATACTTAGGGTTGGGACACTCACCTTCACACCTGGCCTAAAGACAATTACAAATGGGGAGATCTTTGATTGATGTCTAATGGCAATACAAATGTGGCTCTTACAAGTGCAGAGACCTTGTGAGCTATACACCCTGAAAGAGTGACACCTAAGTACCCAGAATATCTACCCAGTTTTAAGAGTACGCATCAACCTTGAAGCAACTCTCATGTAGAACTGTGTTAAAGGACTTGAATGGTCAACAGGATCCAGACAATCATTCTTCCCCATCACTGCTGGTTTTAAATTGGATACCACAAAACGCATGAATACAAAGGTTCATAGAATAGTAAGAAAAGACTAGAAGGAGAAACAAGACACAATATGCTTATTATTGCTTTCCACTCTTCAATAAATTATTGTTGTATGTCAAAGGATGAAGGATCAATACAGTTACACCATATGCCTCATACTAAATTCACTTCCCCAGTAAAATGTATATGTTATCAAGGCTAAAATTCTATGTTCTTTGTGGTGAATGCAGAATCAGAATGTATCAGTTGATGGAGGTTGAAATATGTTTGTGAGATATGCTGAAGGGATTGTTAGTTCTTCTGGGTTTCAAAACGATCTTAGGAATTGATGGTGATATGTTGTTTAATTGTGAGATTTATTTTAATGGAGAGAGTGAGATGGCTCAGTAAGTCCTGACCTGATGTTTTGATTCTATCCCCAGAATCCATCTAATGGAAGGAGAGACTTGGACACCAAAGGTTGTCCTCTGATGTGCTCCCTCCCAAACTGAATAAATGTATAAAAGTTTTTGAAAACATGCATTCCATAGTTACATATTGAAACATAGACTCTCACATTGCTTTAGATTCCTATTCTCTAGAAAGCAGAAAAAAAACCCCTCTGTTTATTATTATTTTTTAAATCTTTGCCTATATTTGCCATTAGGAAAAACAGTCTAGTAGTCGCTTAACTAAGTCTAATCACATGTACTGACGCCATACACTTTTATCCATGTCAAGTAAAGATGCTTGGGTGGGTAAATGGTACCATGAACTGACAGTTATTTTTCTGTCCCTCTAGTTGTACCGGAACATCCAACTGTCACACCTTCCCCAAGTGATGTACAAAAGTTCCCGAATTCCTTCGTGAAGGTAAACAGTTTCTTTCCTTTATGAAAGAGTGAAAAGCTGCTTTAATGATTATTCCCTTATGTTGTAGTGGCTATCACACTTGAAAAATAAGGTTGGTTAGGTTATCATGAGTGTTAAATAGTATATTTAGGAAGAGGGGGAAACAGAATTAGACCAGATTAGTGATTGGATAGAACATTCACACATGCTTATGTCAGGTATTCATTCTGAGTCAAGGGGACAGGGTGTCTTTGGGAGAATGGTGTTCTGCTTTTGACAAAAGTATGTAAATTTCACTTGGAAGTTGATGGGCATATCATCCATGTAGACTTGAATGTTCACGTAAGGGTCCCCTCCTTTTATGACTTCTAGAGCCTCTGGTTTAGGTTGAATTTGATTGTTTCTCAAAGATCAATGTTGTGGAAGCTTCATATGCCCCAGTATAGGGTGTCCAGGTGCTCAGAACTCTAAGTCATGGGATGCACGTACATTATTAGAGTGCCTCATAAAAGGGCATAGTAGTAATATAGTAATCATAATAATCAGTAGAATACAGGAAACTTAGATATTTTTGTACCACTCTAGAAATCACAACAGAGATGGGGCCATTTTTTTTTCTCAACACAGAAACACCAACTCATCCTAAGCCTATGAGGTCTTATAAGGGCTATTACAATTCTGAATACCTTAAATATCCTAAAACTATGGCATGTAAGACTGGGTCTCCTACAACCCAGACTTGCCTCAAACTACTGGTCTCCTGAGTCTCTACCACCCAAGTGCAGGAGCTACAGGTGTAGACCAGTATGCCTGACTCAAACAAACACGTGGAAGTGCACGTTATCCTCCGGAACCACTAAACCCTCGGCCTCAACTGGGGTGCATGTGTGTGTGTGTGAGTGCGCGCGTAAGGGGGTCCTACCCAACTCATGGACACACTCTCCCTCAGATCTGGGCCTCAAGAGGAGGCCGGACAGGGCCTGTTTGGGGCCCTCCTTGAAGAGAGGGGGACATTTTCCAGTCAGAATTCACGTCCTCCTCCAACACCCCGCCCCCGGCCTAACACACCAGCCATGGGGCCATTTGGGGTCAACAATATTTCTCTTTCTGGAAGCCCCTGCCAACACCATGTGCAAAGGGAGCCCTCAAGTTAACCAGGCCCCCCTCAGCTGCCGCCTGGAGAGAAAAGAGACCCCACGCAGCGACGCCCGGCACTTCCAGCTTGTGAAAAACCGCGGGAAGCCTGTGCGTGGGCGTGGCAATCCGCGCAGGCGTGGCCATCCCGGAGCACCCGTGCTACTGACTGCGCAAGCGCAGAGGGTGGCCCGTGCGGGGAGGCCTCGCAGAGTCCCAGGGCGGCTGGAGTTTCTCTGCCTGGAAAGTCAGAAGCAGAGCCCGGGGTGGGGGGCGTTTGCTCCCGAGGCGCGCAGCCGGCACGGGCGTGGCGCTGCCCCTTTAGCTGTTCTGCCCAGCCCTGCCATGTCAGCCCCTGCTGTGTCAGAAAACCAAGGCCTGGCTCTCCTTCCGCCTTGCCCGGTTCCTAGACGCTAGGTATTTCCTAAGATGCTGCTGGCATCCTGGACCGCGTGCCTGGAAGAGAATGACTCCCAAGGCATCAGAACAAGGTGTGGCCTTTCTGATGGGACGCCCTGGATCAGGCAGGGAATTTAGTCTCCAGGAGGCCGGTAGGAAGCTGAGGCCGCTTTTGAACTAACACCCTCCAAAGCAAACCACAGTGCGGGAGAGCCAGGCGGTGGCAGTTGTTGAGGACAGCAAAAGAGCACGTGGTGTTGGTTTTCACCAGTGTTGGTTTTTATGTGGCGGCACAATGTTATTCATTAAGCGGCACTGTTACCGTGTGAGGAAAGGTTCGAGGCACCACTAAACCCACTATCAGAGTTTATTAGGGAAGGAGGGACAGGAGAGAATGTGCTTAGGCCTATGGAAGACGTGGGGGGAGGGGAAGGGAGAAGGGGGAAGGAGTCTGTGACTAGCTTTTGATGGATTCCCCTGCCCATGCGCATATGTAGCTATGCCACACATACGCATAGATTGCCTAATGCAGCGCATGGATTACATAGGACGTAAAGCCTTGGAATGACTAATCATTTTGGCAGTGCATGCTCGGTCATGTAGCTGGGGAGTGGGGGAGGAGGGAGTGGCCAGTGACCAGGAATTCCAACACATGGGCCACAAAGGGACTCTACAAAGGAAGCCGGTGGTATGACAACCTGAGCTCTGAGCTTCAAGCCTCCTGTCTGGAAAAACTGGGAGTTCTTGGCTCTGTGACTTTGGGCAAACTTACCCTTTCTGTGTCTACATTGCCTTCCTCAATAAAGTAGCAATAACAATATTTACTTAATTGCCTTAAAATATTAAAAGATATTAATCTGTCCTGTCACATAGTAAGTGCTCAATAAAGGTTAATTCTTGTTTCAAACAAACAAACAAATCATAGTAATCAGATATGGAGTTGCTCTGTCATGTCGTGATATACCTTAGCTGACCATCAGTGGAGGCTAAACACATAGGGATACCTGATGTGACCTCTAGTCAGCAAAAGTGAAAAACAGACTAGTGTTTGTCACAAAGGAGACGTCCTGAGATATTCTGTCAGTATCATATAACATACTAATCCAGAATCTTCCACCCAAGGGCTTGGTAATCCTTGGTGTAATAATGCCCAGCAAACAGGTGAACCAAAGTGTTGTGCAAACAGAACTCACCATAATCTGAGTCTCAAAGTGTTTTCTTTACTGTATGTTGCAGGTGGAACCTGGTATCCACAGATGTGGTATGTATTCTGGAGTCACTGAAGACATGTTTTAGATGTGAATTGTGTGAATACTGGTTGTCTTTTGTCTAGTGTACCACAGTAAGCAAAAACACATTCATCATTTGACAGTTGGGAGTTCGATTTCAAAAAAAAGTGATACCTCAAGTAAGAAACCATACTCATGTGTCTACAGTTGTACATCTAGCTGTGACCTCTTTAGTTTGGGGTTTTGTGCACCAGGCTATGTTTAAACTTCTTTTATCTAGACAGACGTCTATGTCACTGAACCCAATTTTCAGGAAAACTGTTGTGAAAAAAAAAATTAAGGACTTGAGCCACTGTGTCAGCTGGCCATGAGTCAATCATGGAGGGTCTAGCACAGGCTCCATTCTTGTTCTGGGAGGCTTTTTTAAAAAACTTTTTTTAAATTGTATTTTGTTTACTCCATCTATGTTGATTGAGTAAACAAAATATATTTTTTTTTAGGAGTGGGGGAGGAGAACATAGGGAAATGGGAGGGTCAAGCTGGAACAGGGACAGAGTGGGAGGGCAGGGAGGAAGATACCATGATAGATGAGGACATCATGGGAATAGGAAGAGGCAGAGGGCTGGGGAGGCTCTCAGGAATCCACAAGGTTGACCCCACCTTGGTCTGCTGGCAGTGGTCCAGAGGGTGCCTGGACCGGTCTACTCTGGTGATCAGCCTAGCAAATAACCTAGCTGTCATCATAGAGCCTTTCTTTGTCCAGTGAGAGATGGAGGCAGATACAGAGATCCACGACCAGGCACCAGGCTAAGTTCTGGGAATCCAATTGATGAGAGAGAGGAGAGATACTGCAGGCGAGGGTCGTCGAGATCATGATGGGAGGACGTGCAGAGATGACCGGCCACACTAGTGGAAGCCCATGAACTGTGGACTGGTGGCTGTGGAGCCTCCATGGGACTGGACTAGGCCCTCTGGACACGGAAGACGGTTGTTTGGCTTGAACTGTTTGGGGGGCACCCAGACGGGGGATTGGGATCTGTCCCTGGTCTATGGGCAGGCTTCTGGGAATCCGGGGCCTGTGGTGTGACACCTTGCACAGCCTTGGTGCAGTGGGAAGGGGCTTGGACCTGCCTAGGCTCAGTGAGCTGGGCTCTGTTGACTCCCCATGGGAGACCTTGATTTGGGGAATGTGGGGATGTGGAGTGGCTTGGGAAAGAGGGCTGGGGATGAGAGGAGGGAGGAGTGGGGGTCTGTGGATAGCATGAGGAGTGAGTAGAAAATATCCTAATAAAGAAAAATAAAATTAAAAAAAATTGTAACTGGAAATGAGCCTTTGGGGATGAATGTCAGCTGGTTTCTATTAAAATTGTAAATTTCTTGAGAAAAAATAGTATTCATAATTTATCTATAACAATGTGTTTAAAGCTCACCACAGCCATGTGTAGTGGGTTGATTTGTGTTTTCCTAAACAGATGAATAAACCAATGCCCAGAATAAGTGATGAGGATCTTTACATATGCAGTGCAACAAGTGCATTTAATACCCTGCCTGCACACATTAGCAAGTATGGAAGAAACAGCCCATGTTGTGGTGTAGATCACAGATTCTATGCTTACCACTACATTGAGACAGGATGGATGTGTGTGAACTGGGTGTGTGCTAGACTTGGTTGGCTCCTTCCAGTAAAACCTGAAAAGCTTTAAGGTGTTTAACAATATTAGTATGGACACAAAAAGCAACACAATCTAGGCACAGTGTCCACTAAGAACTCCAGTCTCCACCTGGATGTTGATCTGTGATGTCTAACTTTTTGGACAATATAGTGTTTTGTTTTGTTTTTTTGAGACAGGATCTCACTATGTATCCATGGCTCTCCTGGAACTAGCTACATATATACCCTTCTGACTTGGATATCACACAGTTCTGCCTGCCTGTGCCTACAGAGAACTGTTATAAAAGGAGTTCACTACCACACTCAGTGAGACTATATATTTAAAAATGGGGTGCACTCTATTATGCTCCAGGAGTTTTCTTCTCAGTGGTGATTGGTCCTCATGTTTTCAGTGTGACCACTCAGATATCTATATCTATATCTATATCTATATCTATATATATTCAGCAGTGAATGGCATATGGCTAAGTAACATCATTTCAAAAGTATTTTATGCATAGTATGTTTACACTTTCAGTACTTTGTTATATGGTAGTTTGTATTAAGAAAAGCAAGTATGCTAATATGGGCTGGAGCTTGTGGCCCAGTTGCCTCAGTGTATGATTAGCATAACCACAGAGTTTGCTAATTAAACACAGAGTTTGACTCCTAATTCTGCTCAAAATGTGCCCAGGATGTCTCAATCTTATTAGTCCTTGTCCTTGAGAAGTGAAAGAAGGAGAGACATAAGTTCATTATTTGCTGTAGAAATTTCAGGCTAGACTAGAATACAGATCTGTTCTGGAAAAGAAAACTGCAATATAGAGAAGATTGGACTTTGGTGAGAAAGGCATGAACAGGTATAGTACATTCTCAATGCTCCTGTAGTCATCACCCCTATCTTAGCCAGAATTAATAAAGGTTGTACAGGTGGTCAATGAGGATGTCACCTAGAAAATGATGTGTACAGGCACTGTTTATTATATTACCAATGCACCTGGCTACTGTTCTTGTCAGTTCGTGATGAGGACATATCCAGGCCTGGCTAGTGGAAGGGAAGTTCCTATTCATCCCACCCATCATGTGACAACTTGGCTTTGAATGACTTTGAATCTGAGCATCTCTACAAAATATGGAAGCCTTGTTCACCTCTCAGTGTGGTCCGCTAACCAGAGAATCACTAACTGAGAGGCACTAGGCAGGTTGAAAATATTGGAGGAAGACCATATATTTCTGCTAAGCTAGGGCCCTTCTATAGTTTCTCATGTAAACAGTGAAGGTAAACAGTGAAAATCAATACATTCTCTACTGTTGGTTGCATGAGTAACCAATACAATCTCATGCTACCTGGATTCATTTAAATGTAGCCAACTGTTCTGCCAATAACAGATACCACAGAGTAATTTGTTATTATATGTACATTTATTTGAGGTCAAGCTTTGTGTGTGTGTGTGTGTGTGTGTGTGTGTGTGTGTGTGTGTACATGCATGTATGTATGCATGTGTGTGTATGTGGATGGATATACATGTATATGTATGTATATATATATGTATATTCATATGTTTTGCACTGAGAAGTTTCACAGTATATAGCATCCTAGTAAACACTACTCAGAAAGGAGGGTGTTTGTAAAGTTTACCATATTTATGGGACTCCAAGAGAGACATGGACACTGTTTATCGGGTAAAAGCAAACTTAACACAGTCATGTTGCTCTTCTTTTAACAACATCACATTGACATGAGTTTAGGACTTGCCTACACCACCAATGCAATGCATGCAGGAGTGTGCAGTGCACTCAGCGATCCTCCTCAAACACCACCGGGACTCTGATGACTGTGCCTGGAGAATGGGCATGACATGGAGTGTACTAAAACAGACTGGTTTCCTCTATTTTCTACCATGAAACTGACGTACTGTCTCTGTTGTTAATGCATTCCCAGATTCTAATGGCTTGGGAGAGAACCATCAAGAGCATATTGTTGCTACTGAGAATGCTGAAATACTGCAAGTCCAGGCAGACACTTCTGTAGAAGTACCAGAAAGCGAAACAGAAGGTACTGTTGAAATGCATTAATCTCATTGGGTGACATACAGTAGTTGTAAATCATTATTGTACGATAAGAGGGAAAGATGATGACCTTAGCATTAGTTTCCTATGTAGGTAATGTTGACTTGTATAGTTCCTCAGTTGAAATTCAACCACACGATTTAAGAATGAAATGTAAATTCACCTTTTGCAAACATTGAGTAACAAGAAACAGAGGAAAGGTGAGCTCAATCTTGTCTCTGTCACCGTCCCTTCACCTGGTGTAGGCAGGAATAGGTGAGGCAACCTCTCTGTTACTTTCTCCCAGACACCTGCAGTGTGATGAACTGAATGTAAACAAGCTCAGGATTGACATGGTTATTGTCAAAACTGTCAAGAGTTAGCACAAAATTTCATACAGATAACAGCATTTCTGGTGTGACCAAAGGGGATTCAGTCCCTGGAGTAGTGTGTCACACCCTGTGCTTATGGGAAAGAACAGAGACAAGGTCATGGAAGGAGGTTTCTGTGTTCTTCCTTTTCACAGGCATCATGGTAGTCTTGTCAGGAATAATATTCTTGCGTTCATCTCTGTCATTTGAAGGCAGTCTTTCAACACTTAGTGTTCATCAGCATTTATCACTACCAAGTGTCCAAGCCTGTCACTGTGCTTAGTAGCTCTCCATGGAATTTGTGCATAAGGTACTTTCCCTGTTTGTGTGATGAAATACTATGACCCAAACATGCCAAAGGAGGAGTGCTTGTCTTCCCATGATACCATGAGTATGGTGTGCATATTTGCTGAGCAACCAGAGATACAGGAGCCTGAGGCAGAGGTCCAGTGCAACAGAAATGGAGAAAAGGAGTGTTTCTTTATGCTCAGCTCGCCTTCTCCTTCTATAGTCATGGATCTCAGTCCCAGGAATACTGCACTAACAGCTGAACCATTTTCTACCTCAGTTAACCTTGTCAAGATAATGCCATGCAGGCATCACCAGAGCCCTGACCTTATCAGTTGACTACTGATATTTGCCATCACAATGCCCACAAACAGTTTGGAGTTTCAGTCTACGATAAAGCCAGTCTCTCTGGTGAGGACAACTTGCTCCTGTGCATTCAAATGTATGTATAAATTTCTTACCAAGTGGTCCTGGTGATACAGAATAATCAGATCCTGTCCCTGGTTCCCCTGGGACATTTGTGGTAGTGTCTTCTTGGTCTTCTGTTGATCATTTAGGCCATCTTTAAAGGACAACCAAAGGTTAGACAGCTAACTAGCTAGCAGGCTTCTCTAGTACGGCCTCATTGCAACACTGGCAATGTCCTGACATGTAAAGACCTCATATATGTCTTTAGCTTTTACCAGTCTATGTTCCTTGACTTTAGGTGTCATGCTAGGTGATTTCAGTCAAGAAAGGTTTCAGGCTGATATCTATCATGGAACCTTTGACTTAATGGATGAGAAAGGGTGCCCTTTGGGTGATCTTTCATGCTTTTAGAGGCATCCTTGCTTCAGCCTCCAATATGCACAGACTGAGTTTGTGAATTTCCCTAAATTACTGCCCATGTTCCTCATAATACAGGATATAGACCCAAGGGGATCAGCTCTCCAGACACCTATAGGAGGTGTCTGTCCCCTATGCTGTCAGTACTCGAATCTCTCACTCTTGGCCTGGTCTGACTTGTCTCTTCTTTCCTGGGGACATGAGCCTATGATCTAAGGAGTCTTGTAGCTAGAGTTTTCCTGCCTGGCCCACAGTCAAGACAAATCTCTCTCACCTGCCGGTCCCACAGCCCCTCAGACCCGACCAAGTAAACACAGAGACTTATATTGGTTACAAACTGTATGGCCATGGCAGGCTTCTTGCTAACTGTTCTTACAGCTTAAATTTATCCATTTCCATTCATCTATACCTTGCCACATGGCTCGTGGCTTACCGGCATCTTCACATGCTGCTTATCATCGTGGCGGCTGGCAGTGTCTCTCTGACTCAGCCTTCCACTTCCCAGCTTTATTCTCCTCCTTGTCCCGCCTACACTTCCTGCCTAGCCAATGGCCAATCAGTGTTTTATTTATTGACTAATCAGCAACACATTTGCCATACAGACCATCCCACAGCACATTTGCCATACAGAACATCCCACAGCAGAGTCTCTCTTCTCTAAGTGGCTTTACTTTTTCTACTTCAGTAGGCTCACAGCCCAGGCCCATCCGAACTACGTCTGCTTCTCTTGGATTCTCTCATTCTGCAGCTTTTTTTTTTTTTTGACTTCCTATTGTGCACTATATCTGTAGGTTCAATGCATACTGTCCTCTTCTAACCCGTGTGTGGCAGAGAGACAGGATTCTACTTCTAGCCCCCCAACTTTCAATTTCCGTTCTTGTTACCTCTTGCTGACCTCTCTCTCTCTCCAGCCACTTCTCTTTCATTATTGGCATGTTTCTTGGTCTGGAAAACCTTGGAGGCCTATGTGGTCCTGTAGCTAGAGTTTTCCTGCCTGGCCCACAGTCAGGACAAATCTCTCTCACCTGCCAGTCCCACAGCCATCAGACCCAACCAAGTAAACACAGAGACTTATATTGGTTACAAACTGTATGGCCATGGCAGGCTTCTTGCTAACTGTTCTTACAGCTTAAATTAATCCATTTCTATTAATCTATACCTTGCCACGTGGCTTGTGGCTTACCGGTACTTTACATCTTCCTTGTCCTGATGGCGGCTGGCAGTGTCTCTCTCACCCAGCTTCCTGTTCTCTCAATTCTCCTCTCTGTTAGTCCCGCCTATACTTCCTGCCTGGCCACTGACCAATCAGTGATTTATTCATTGACCAATCAGCAACACATTTGACATACAGACCATCCCACAGCACTTCCCCTTTTCTTTTCTTAAAAAGGAAGGTTTTAACCTTTACACATCTCCAAAGTCAGCTTGGTATATTTGGGAATTTGGGCGTAGCTTCTCTTACTGCTTCCTGCTGGAGGGGGGGCGCTGTATCTTATGGGGACACAAAGAATATTTTAGGGTTATGGAGTAGTCCATGAGGGTGTATCGTCTGAGCCAGTTGCCTTGAAACGGTTCTGGATGTTGGATCATCTGGGCCATGGTGTCATCGGAGACCTTTCAGGGGGTCTTGGCTGGTCAAACCTGATGTGTCTTAATCTGGAACAAATCCATAGCCTCTGGCTTTCTGTGGAAACAAAAGCAGAGCCTCCTTTCCAAAGCAACATATCCTTACATCCAAATTTTGAAGTCAAGGTACCTTTAAAATATACATTTTGGCATAACTCAACAGCTTTTGTAATCAAATGTTTTTCTTTAGTTACGAATATCAAACAGAACATAATCCAGATTCTCTGTGTGGTAGCCATCTTTACGTGGCTTATTTTTTTATAGTAGCTTGAGCCTATTGCTTTGAACTGTAGCCTTCTAAGCCTGAAACGGCGCTGGCGCTGCTGGCTCCGCCCACTTCAGCTTCCCAACATGGCGGTGATACGTTTTCCGCCAGCTCTGGGAGCCATCAACTCTCAGAAATAGTGGGTCTATGCTTCTATCAAAGCAGCGTGTAGCCCAGAAACCTCTTATTTTTTTTGTTTTGTACTAGCAAAGGCTAAATCCACCACACAGTTTAATGTGCCACTTGCAGAGGCCTCATTCCCACCATACTGCAGGTCGAGCATGCACGCACGCTAGGAACCCGTCAGTAGCTCAAACCGGCAGGCTGCCGCTAACTTGAAAGAGACAACTAGGAACTGTTTTTAGCTCCATTTTAGAATCTTTTTTCTCAGGTTTTAGGTGGAAACTCTTGCCACCACGTTGGACGCCATTTGTAGCTAGAGTTTTCCTGCCTGGCCCACATTCAGGACAAATCTCTCTCACCTGCCAGTCCCACAGCCATCAGACCCAACCAAGTAAACACAGAGACTTATATTGGTTACAAACTGTATGGCCATGGCAGGCTTCTTGCTAACTGTTCTTACAGCTTAAATTAATCCATTTCTATTAATCTATACCTTGCCACGTGGCTTGTGGCTTACCGGTACTTTACATCTTCCTTGTCCTGATGGCGGCTGGCAGTGTCTCTCTCACCCAGCTTCCTGTTCTCTCAATTCTCCTCTCTGTTAGTCCCGCCTATACTTCCTGCCTGGCCACTGACCAATCAGTGATTTATTCATTGACCAATCAGCAACACATTTGACATACAGACCATCCCACAGCATGGTCCATTTTTCCAGTTACTTTATTGGTTATTTTGTATACTGGAACACGTTGTCCAGGCAATGTGGACTAATTCCCATACTGTTCTCATCTTGTCCTGGGTGTTCTAGGTCTTTCTGTAATCATTTATTGTCTCACAAAGCTCATGATTTGAAAAGATCAGTGGAGAGAACAGAAAAGACCCCTTTTCAGAAATATATGTCTGGAAAGTCAGTTGACGCTCTAGAAAGGGTATGGATCAGACCTTTATTACATGTACATAGGTAAAAGTCTGGTGGCCAGCTGAGGTTGATGAGAGTAGCAGTTATCCTGTGCTTAAATCATCTCAGAGACTGATTGAACTCTGTGATTTCTATCATAAGGTTAGCTTTCTGTGGTTGGTGCGTAGCAGTAAAAGCACTTGTTGTAAAGACTGAGATCAATACTTTGAACCTGGAACCTACATGGTTGACTGAGAGAACCAGGTACAGAAGGTTCACTTCTGCTAGAGCACTGCCAGCTGTTGAGCCTCCCAAATAAAATAAATGTAAAAATAAATTTTTTGAAACATTTATTTAATCTTTACATGATATAACTATTCTTTTACACTGCTTTAGATTCAGATTCCCTAGAAAGAAAAATATATCTGTTCCTCATTTCTCTCCAGACATGCACGGGGCCTTAATTTGTCTTCCTGGAAGACATTCCAGCAACAACCCAACCATATTTTCCATTAGATTTAGTTGCCATGGAAGAATCCTCTTGTACACTGTAAAGATTTGTCACTTGAATTGATTTAATAAAAGGATAATTGGCCAGTAGCCAGGCAGGGTGACCAAACTAAGAATGCTGGAAAGAGGAAGGGAAAAGTCAGGAGTCCCAAGCGAGACCCAGAGGAAGCAAGATGAGAATGCTGTATGGAGAAAGGTACCAAGCCACGTGGCTGCCTATAGATAAGAATTATGGGTTAATAAAAGTGAAAGAGCAAGGTATTAATAAGCCTAAGCTATCAGCCAAGCATTTGTAAATAATATTAAGCCTCTGAGTCAATTATTTCAAAAACAACTGCTGAATATTTGGGTGTTGCTGATAGAATAGAAAAGTCTGATTACAATTAATCCCATGTACTAAGTCCATGCAGTTTTATCCACATCAATCAAAAATGCCCTGTAAATAATAATAAGTCCTGTGAGCTGAGAGTCGCTTTCTTTCCCCTAGTGTACCCTGAAACTTCTACCAGTTCCAATTCACCAAACAGCGTACCAGATCTACCAAAGAGGATGGTGAAGGTAAGAGGCCTTCCCTTGCCTGAGGTAGAAAGGTTACCTCAGTGGTCCCCTTGTGTTTCAGTGGGTATCACATTTCATTCATTAAACTGATCTGAGTCATCACGGACATTGGAGAGTTTATTTAGGAAGAGGAGGGAATGGAACTGTACCAACTTGGTCTTGATCAAGACAGCACACATCACAATGTGGCACAACTTTGTGTCCTGCTTTATGAGTGATCCCATCAAGGTGGGTGCCTCTAGTTTACACCAGTCCTCATGGTTGAAAGATCCTCTGAACATCCTCAAGCTGGACACACTAAGCTTCCAACCATATACTCAAGTTCTTTGTAAACCATAGCCTAGAAACAGAAAATACCTTAGTGAAACATATAAGTTTTTATAGATGGTATGTGACATAGTTTTGCAACCCTCTATAGGCCAGATAGGTTTACCTGATCTGCCATTGAATAAGAAAAAGTATGCCCACTACTAGTTTGTATCACAAAGGACAGAGTCCCAGATCTCTGTGACATCATCGAATAACGTACCCATTAATATAGTCTCCTTGTTACTGCTCTTCTCTGTCCTGATTTCAATCACTCGATGTTAAGGGAAAAAGGCTTTGTAGACATTACTCAGCATGATCATGGCATTAAATATTTTCTTTCCTGTTGATTGCAGGTGATGTCTAAAAAGAACAGACATGGTATGTATTATGGGATCATTTTCCTAAGACACACACCTTAGGTGGGAATTGTGAAAAAACTGGTTGTATTTTGTGTGATACACCACTGTGATGTAAGATACCGAACGATATGAGAATTGCTGTGTTAGATTTTTTTTCTTAGTTTCTTTTAAAGGCAAGGACCACACCAGGTAAGTAATCATGGATATGTCTATGGTCCTTGTGTTCAACAGTAATCCTTTGTTATTTGAGGGTATTGTACTTCAATTCTTGTTTAAATCTGTTTTTCCCCCAAGAGTAGGATGGCGTTTTCACAACCCAATTTCCAGTTACAGATATGTAAATTGAAAATCAGAGCACAGGTAAACTACAAAAATGTGTTCAAACCTCATCTCAGATATGCAGGGTCAGTTACATGCTTGTGTTCCTTCATAAATGGGTTAACCAGAACTCAAGAGGTAGTGATGAGGCTCCTTAACTGTGCATCTTAAGAGCCACTTCTTACCTCATCAAGGGCACAGTAATCCCCGTGGAGAGCTCTGCCTTCTTACATCTGCCTGCAGTAAGGCAAATCGATAGGGATCCCAAACACTGCAATGACTGCTGTAGTGGTTAGAAGTCCTAGGAAGTGTCATTCAGCATGCAGCAGTCACTGCTTTGAAAGGTAGAGAAGCATAGTGCTTCTTTTAAGATGACAGAGTCCCAAAATTAAATAAAGGACATGGGACAGTGGGGTGGATAGTTCTAAAATGGGTTTTGGATCTAGAGAAAAGCATGAACAAATTATACAACAGAAGCATGGGCCCAAAGAGGAACACAATTTAAGGACAATGTGCACTGAGAACTGCAATCACCAACTGAAGGTTGATGTGTACTACCTCATTCTCTGAGAATACATTGCTTTTGGGGGCGGGGTGCAGGGACTCACAGTTTGTCCTTATCTATACTGGAACTACCTACTTATGTACCATACTGGCCTAGAACTCACAGAGCTTCACCTCCTCTGCCTACAGAGAACTGTTATGAAAGTAGTGCACTCCATATCCAGTGGGAATACATCTTTAAATGTATTGGTTGGGTACACTCTGCTTCATGTGTTTTTCCTCTCAGGGTTGGTCAGTCCCTGTGATTTGAAGGTGAGCACTCATTAGGTACATGTGTTCAGCAGGGAAACACAACACTGTCACACTGCCATGAATTTAGGACTTGCCTACACCACCAGTGCAGTGCATGCAGGAGTGTGCAGTGCACTCTCAGTGATCCTCCTGAAACACCACCGTGACTCTGATGACAGTGCCTGGAGAAAGGGCATGATATGGAGTGTACTAAAACAGAGTGGTTTCCTCTCTATTCTGCCATGAAACTGACATAACTGTCTCTGCTGTTAATGCATTTTAGTTTCCATAATTAAATGGAGGCTCTTTAGGAGAGGAACCGGTTTTCCAACGGATGTTGAAGTACCTCAAGTCCAGGCAGACACTTCTGTAGAAGTACCAGAAAGCGAAACAGAAGGTACTGTTGAAATGCATTAATCTCATTGGGTGACATACAGTAGTTGTAAATCATTATTGTACGATAAGAGGGAAAGATGATGACCTTAGCATTAGTTTCCTATGTAGGTAATGTTGACTTGTATAGTTCCTCAGTTGAAATTCAACCACACGATTTAAGAATGAAATGTAAATTCACCTTTTGCAAACATTGAGTAACAAGAAACAGAGGAAAGGTGAGCTCAATCTTGTCTCTGTCACCGTCCCTTCACCTGGTGTAGGCAGGAATAGGTGAGGCAACCTCTCTGTTACTTTCTCCCAGACACCTGCAGTGTGATGAACTGAATGTAAACAAGCTCAGGATTGACATGGTTATTGTCAAACTGTCAAGAGTTAGCACAAAATTTCATACAGATAACAGCATTTCTGGTGTGACCAAAGGGGATTCAGTCCCTGGAGTAGTGTGTCACACCCTGTGCTTATGGGAAAGAACAGAGACAAGGTCATGGAAGGAGGTTTCTGTGTTCTTCCTTTTCACAGGCATCATGGTAGTCTTGTCAGGAATAATATTCTTGCGTTCATCTCTGTCATTTGAAGGCAGTCTTTCAACACTTAGTGTTCATCAGCATTTATCACTACCAAGTGTCCAAGCCTGTCACTGTGCTTAGTAGCTCTCCATGGAATTTGTGCATAAGGTACTTTCCCTGTTTGTGTGATGAAATACTATGACCCAAACATGCCAAAGGAGGAGTGCTTGTCTTCCCATGATACCATGAGTATGGTGTGCATATTTGCTGAGCAACCAGAGATACAGGAGCCTGAGGCAGAGGTCCAGTGCAACAGAAATGGAGAAAAGGAGTGTTTCTTTATGCTCAGCTCGCCTTCTCCTTCTATAGTCATGGATCTCAGTCCCAGGAATACTGCACTAACAGCTGAACCATTTTCTACCTCAGTTAACCTTGTCAAGATGATGCCATGCAGGCATCACCAGAGCCCTGACCTTATCAGTTGACTACTGATATTTGCCATCACAATGCCCACAAACAGTTTGGAGTTTCAGTCTACGATAAAGCCAGTCTCTCTGGTGAGGACAACTTGCTCCTGTGCATTCAAATGTATGTATAAATTTCTTACCAAGTGGTCCTGGTGATACAGAATAATCAGATCCTGTCCCTGGTTCCCCTGGGACATTTGTGGTAGTGTCTTCTTGGTCTTCTGTTGATCATTTAGGCCATCTTTAAAGGACAACCAAAGGTTAGACAGCTAACTAGCTAGCAGGCTTCTCTAGTACGGCCTCATTGCAACACTGGCAATGTCCTGACATGTAAAGACCTCATATATGTCTTTAGCTTTTACCAGTCTATGTTCCTTGACTTTAGGTGTCATGCTAGGTGATTTCAGTCAAGAAAGGTTTCAGGCTGATATCTATCATGGAACCTTTGACTTAATGGATGAGAAAGGGTGCCCTTTGGGTGATCTTTCATGCTTTTAGAGGCATCCTTGCTTCAGCCTCCAATATGCACAGACTGAGTTTGTGAATTTCCCTAAATTACTGCCCATGTTCCTCATAATACAGGATATAGACCCAAGGGGATCAGCTCTCCAGACACCTATAGGAGGTGTCTGTCCCCTATGCTGTCAGTACTCGAATCTCTCACTCTTGGCCTGGTCTGACTTGTCTCTTCTTTCCTGGGGACATGAGCCTATGATCTAAGGAGTCTTGTAGCTAGAGTTTTCCTGCCTGGCCCACAGTCAAGACAAATCTCTCTCACCTGCCGGTCCCACAGCCCCTCAGACCCGACCAAGTAAACACAGAGACTTATATTGGTTACAAACTGTATGGCCATGGCAGGCTTCTTGCTAACTGTTCTTACAGCTTAAATTTATCCATTTCCATTCATCTATACCTTGCCACATGGCTCGTGGCTTACCGGCATCTTCACATGCTGCTTATCATCGTGGCGGCTGGCAGTGTCTCTCTGACTCAGCCTTCCACTTCCCAGCTTTATTCTCCTCCTTGTCCCGCCTACACTTCCTGCCTAGCCAATGGCCAATCAGTGTTTTATTTATTGACTAATCAGCAACACATTTGCCATACAGACCATCCCACAGCACATTTGCCATACAGAACATCCCACAGCAGAGTCTCTCTTCTCTAAGTGGCTTTACTTTTTCTACTTCAGTAGGCTCACAGCCCAGGCCCATCCGAACTACGTCTGCTTCTCTTGGATTCTCTCATTCTGCAGCTTTTTTTTTTTTTGACTTCCTATTGTGCACTATATCTGTAGGTTCAATGCATACTGTCCTCTTCTAACCCGTGTGTGGCAGAGAGACAGGATTCTACTTCTAGCCCCCCAACTTTCAATTTCCGTTCTTGTTACCTCTTGCTGACCTCTCTCTCTCTCCAGCCACTTCTCTTTCATTATTGGCATGTTTCTTGGTCTGGAAAACCTTGGAGGCCTATGTGGTCCTGTAGCTAGAGTTTTCCTGCCTGGCCCACAGTCAGGACAAATCTCTCTCACCTGCCAGTCCCACAGCCATCAGACCCAACCAAGTAAACACAGAGACTTATATTGGTTACAAACTGTATGGCCATGGCAGGCTTCTTGCTAACTGTTCTTACAGCTTAAATTAATCCATTTCTATTAATCTATACCTTGCCACGTGGCTTGTGGCTTACCGGTACTTTACATCTTCCTTGTCCTGATGGTGGCTGGCAGTGTCTCTCTCACCCAGCTTCCTGTTCTCTCAATTCTCCTCTCTGTTAGTCCCGCCTATACTTCCTGCCTGGCCACTGACCAATCAGTGATTTATTCATTGACCAATCAGCAACACATTTGACATACAGACCATCCCACAGCACTTCCCCTTTTCTTTTCTTAAAAAGGAAGGTTTTAACCTTTACACATCTCCAAAGTCAGCTTGGTATATTTGGGAATTTGGGCGTAGCTTCTCTTACTGCTTCCTGCTGGAGGGGGGGCGCTGTATCTTATGGGGACACAAAGAATATTTTAGGGTTATGGAGTAGTCCATGAGGGTGTATCGTCTGAGCCAGTTGCCTTGAAACGGTTCTGGATGTTGGATCATCTGGGCCATGGTGTCATCGGAGACCTTTCAGGGGGTCTTGGCTGGTCAAACCTGATGTGTCTTAATCTGGAACAAATCCATAGCCTCTGGCTTTCTGTGGAAACAAAAGCAGAGCCTCCTTTCCAAAGCAACATATCCTTACATCCAAATTTTGAAGTCAAGGTACCTTTAAAATATACATTTTGGCATAACTCAACAGCTTTTGTAATCAAATGTTTTTCTTTAGTTACGAATATCAAACAGAACATAATCCAGATTCTCTGTGTGGTAGCCATCTTTACGTGGCTTATTTTTTTATAGTAGCTTGAGCCTATTGCTTTGAACTGTAGCCTTCTAAGCCTGAAACGGCGCTGGCGCTGCTGGCTCCGCCCACTTCAGCTTCCCAACATGGCGGTGATACGTTTTCCGCCAGCTCTGGGAGCCATCAACTCTCAGAAATAGTGGGTCTATGCTTCTATCAAAGCAGCGTGTAGCCCAGAAACCTCTTATTTTTTTTGTTTTGTACTAGCAAAGGCTAAATCCACCACACAGTTTAATGTGCCACTTGCAGAGGCCTCATTCCCACCATACTGCAGGTCGAGCATGCACGCACGCTAGGAACCCGTCAGTAGCTCAAACCGGCAGGCTGCCGCTAACTTGAAAGAGACAACTAGGAACTGTTTTTAGCTCCATTTTAGAATCTTTTTTCTCAGGTTTTAGGTGGAAACTCTTGCCACCACGTTGGACGCCATTTGTAGCTAGAGTTTTCCTGCCTGGCCCACATTCAGGACAAATCTCTCTCACCTGCCAGTCCCACAGCCATCAGACCCAACCAAGTAAACACAGAGACTTATATTGGTTACAAACTGTATGGCCATGGCAGGCTTCTTGCTAACTGTTCTTACAGCTTAAATTAATCCATTTCTATTAATCTATACCTTGCCACGTGGCTTGTGGCTTACCGGTACTTTACATCTTCCTTGTCCTGATGGCGGCTGGCAGTGTCTCTCTCACCCAGCTTCCTGTTCTCTCAATTCTCCTCTCTGTTAGTCCCGCCTATACTTCCTGCCTGGCCACTGACCAATCAGTGATTTATTCATTGACCAATCAGCAACACATTTGACATACAGACCATCCCACAGCATGGTCCATTTTTCCAGTTACTTTATTGGTTATTTTGTATACTGGAACACGTTGTCCAGGCAATGTGGACTAATTCCCATACTGTTCTCATCTTGTCCTGGGTGTTCTAGGTCTTTCTGTAATCATTTATTGTCTCACAAAGCTCATGATTTGAAAAGATCAGTGGAGAGAACAGAAAAGACCCCTTTTCAGAAATATATGTCTGGAAAGTCAGTTGACGCTCTAGAAAGGGTATGGATCAGACCTTTATTACATGTACATAGGTAAAAGTCTGGTGGCCAGCTGAGGTTGATGAGAGTAGCAGTTATCCTGTGCTTAAATCATCTCAGAGACTGATTGAACTCTGTGATTTCTATCATAAGGTTAGCTTTCTGTGGTTGGTGCGTAGCAGTAAAAGCACTTGTTGTAAAGACTGAGATCAATACTTTGAACCTGGAACCTACATGGTTGACTGAGAGAACCAGGTACAGAAGGTTCACTTCTGCTAGAGCACTGCCAGCTGTTGAGCCTCCCAAATAAAATAAATGTAAAAATAAATTTTTTGAAACATTTATTTAATCTTTACATGATATAACTATTCTTTTACACTGCTTTAGATTCAGATTCCCTAGAAAGAAAAATATATCTGTTCCTCATTTCTCTCCAGACATGCACGGGGCCTTAATTTGTCTTCCTGGAAGACATTCCAGCAACAACCCAACCATATTTTCCATTAGATTTAGTTGCCATGGAAGAATCCTCTTGTACACTGTAAAGATTTGTCACTTGAATTGATTTAATAAAAGGATAATTGGCCAGTAGCCAGGCAGGGTGACCAAACTAAGAATGCTGGAAAGAGGAAGGGAAAAGTCAGGAGTCCCAAGCGAGACCCAGAGGAAGCAAGATGAGAATGCTGTATGGAGAAAGGTACCAAGCCACGTGGCTGCCTATAGATAAGAATTATGGGTTAATAAAAGTGAAAGAGCAAGGTATTAATAAGCCTAAGCTATCAGCCAAGCATTTGTAAATAATATTAAGCCTCTGAGTCAATTATTTCAAAAACAACTGCTGAATATTTGGGTGTTGCTGATAGAATAGAAAAGTCTGATTACAATTAATCCCATGTACTAAGTCCATGCAGTTTTATCCACATCAATCAAAAATGCCCTGTAAATAATAATAAGTCCTGTGAGCTGAGAGTCGCTTTCTTTCCCCTAGTGTACCCTGAAACTTCTACCAGTTCCAATTCACCAAACAGCGTACCAGATCTACCAAAGAGGATGGTGAAGGTAAGAGGCCTTCCCTTGCCTGAGGTAGAAAGGTTACCTCAGTGGTCCCCTTGTGTTTCAGTGGGTATCACATTTCATTCATTAAACTGATCTGAGTCATCACGGACATTGGAGAGTTTATTTAGGAAGAGGAGGGAATGGAACTGTACCAACTTGGTCTTGATCAAGACAGCACACATCACAATGTGGCACAACTTTGTGTCCTGCTTTATGAGTGATCCCATCAAGGTGGGTGCCTCTAGTTTACACCAGTCCTCATGGTTGAAAGATCCTCTGAACATCCTCAAGCTGGACACACTAAGCTTCCAACCATATACTCAAGTTCTTTGTAAACCATAGCCTAGAAACAGAAAATACCTTAGTGAAACATATAAGTTTTTATAGATGGTATGTGACATAGTTTTGCAACCCTCTATAGGCCAGATAGGTTTACCTGATCTGCCATTGAATAAGAAAAAGTATGCCCACTACTAGTTTGTATCACAAAGGACAGAGTCCCAGATCTCTGTGACATCATCGAATAACGTACCCATTAATATAGTCTCCTTGTTACTGCTCTTCTCTGTCCTGATTTCAATCACTCGATGTTAAGGGAAAAAGGCTTTGTAGACATTACTCAGCATGATCATGGCATTAAATATTTTCTTTCCTGTTGATTGCAGGTGATGTCTAAAAAGAACAGACATGGTATGTATTATGGGATCATTTTCCTAAGACACACACCTTAGGTGGGAATTGTGAAAAAACTGGTTGTATTTTGTGTGATACACCACTGTGATGTAAGATACCGAACGATATGAGAATTGCTGTGTTAGATTTTTTTTCTTAGTTTCTTTTAAAGGCAAGGACCACACCAGGTAAGTAATCATGGATATGTCTATGGTCCTTGTGTTCAACAGTAATCCTTTGTTATTTGAGGGTATTGTACTTCAATTCTTGTTTAAATCTGTTTTTCCCCCAAGAGTAGGATGGCGTTTTCACAACCCAATTTCCAGTTACAGATATGTAAATTGAAAATCAGAGCACAGGTAAACTACAAAAATGTGTTCAAACCTCATCTCAGATATGCAGGGTCAGTTACATGCTTGTGTTCCTTCATAAATGGGTTAACCAGAACTCAAGAGGTAGTGATGAGGCTCCTTAACTGTGCATCTTAAGAGCCACTTCTTACCTCATCAAGGGCACAGTAATCCCCGTGGAGAGCTCTGCCTTCTTACATCTGCCTGCAGTAAGGCAAATCGATAGGGATCCCAAACACTGCAATGACTGCTGTAGTGGTTAGAAGTCCTAGGAAGTGTCATTCAGCATGCAGCAGTCACTGCTTTGAAAGGTAGAGAAGCATAGTGCTTCTTTTAAGATGACAGAGTCCCAAAATTAAATAAAGGACATGGGACAGTGGGGTGGATAGTTCTAAAATGGGTTTTGGATCTAGAGAAAAGCATGAACAAATTATACAACAGAAGCATGGGCCCAAAGAGGAACACAATTTAAGGACAATGTGCACTGAGAACTGCAATCACCAACTGAAGGTTGATGTGTACTACCTCATTCTCTGAGAATACATTGCTTTTGGGGGCGGGGTGCAGGGACTCACAGTTTGTCCTTATCTATACTGGAACTACCTACTTATGTACCATACTGGCCTAGAACTCACAGAGCTTCACCTCCTCTGCCTACAGAGAACTGTTATGAAAGTAGTGCACTCCATATCCAGTGGGAATACATCTTTAAATGTATTGGTTGGGTACACTCTGCTTCATGTGTTTTTCCTCTCAGGGTTGGTCAGTCCCTGTGATTTGAAGGTGAGCACTCATTAGGTACATGTGTTCAGCAGGGAAACACAACACTGTCACACTGCCATGAATTTAGGACTTGCCTACACCACCAGTGCAGTGCATGCAGGAGTGTGCAGTGCACTCAGCGATCCTCCTGAAACACCACCGGGACTCTGATGACTGTGCCTGGAGAATGGGCATGACATGGAGTGTACTAAAACAGACTGGTTTCCTCTATTTTCTACCATGAAACTGACGTACTGTCTCTGTTGTTAATGCATTCCCAGATTCTAATGGCTTGGGAGAGAACCATCAAGAGCATATTGTTGCTACTGAGAATGCTGAAATACTGCAAGTCCAGGCAGACACTTCTGTAGAAGTACCAGAAAGCGAAACAGAAGGTACTGTTGAAATGCATTAATCTCATTGGGTGACATACAGTAGTTGTAAATCATTATTGTACGATAAGAGGGAAAGATGATGACCTTAGCATTAGTTTCCTATGTAGATAATGTTGACTTGTATAGTTCCTCAGTTGAAATTCAACCACACGATTTAAGAATGAAATGTAAATTCACCTTTTGCAAACATTGAGTAACAAGAAACAGAGGAAAGGTGAGCTCAATCTTGTCTCTGTCACCGTCCCTTCACCTGGTGTAGGCAGGAATAGGTGAGGCAACCTCTCTGTTACTTTCTCCCAGACACCTGCAGTGTGATGAACTGAATGTAAACAAGCTCAGGATTGACATGGTTATTGTCAAAACTGTCAAGAGTTAGCACAAAATTTCATACAGATAACAGCATTTCTGGTGTGACCAAAGGGGATTCAGTCCCTGGAGTAGTGTGTCACACCCTGTGCTTATGGGAAAGAACAGAGACAAGGTCATGGAAGGAGGTTTCTGTGTTCTTCCTTTTCACAGGCATCATGGTAGTCTTGTCAGGAATAATATTCTTGCGTTCATCTCTGTCATTTGAAGGCAGTCTTTCAACACTTAGTGTTCATCAGCATTTATCACTACCAAGTGTCCAAGCCTGTCACTGTGCTTAGTAGCTCTCCATGGAATTTGTGCATAAGGTACTTTCCCTGTTTGTGTGATGAAATACTATGACCCAAACATGCCAAAGGAGGAGTGCTTGTCTTCCCATGATACCATGAGTATGGTGTGCATATTTGCTGAGCAACCAGAGATACAGGAGCCTGAGGCAGAGGTCCAGTGCAACAGAAATGGAGAAAAGGAGTGTTTCTTTATGCTCAGCTCGCCTTCTCCTTCTATAGTCATGGATCTCAGTCCCAGGAATACTGCACTAACAGCTGAACCATTTTCTACCTCAGTTAACCTTGTCAAGATAATGCCATGCAGGCATCACCAGAGCCCTGACCTTATCAGTTGACTACTGATATTTGCCATCACAATGCCCACAAACAGTTTGGAGTTTCAGTCTACAATAAAGCCAGTCTCTCTGGTGAGGACAACTTGCTCCTGTGCATTCAAATGTATGTATAAATTTCTTACCAAGTGGTCCTGGTGATACAGAATAATCAGATCCTGTCCCTGGTTCCCCTGGGACATTTGTGGTAGTGTCTTCTTGGTCTTCTGTTGATCATTTAGGCCATCTTTAAAGGACAACCAAAGGTTAGACAGCTAACTAGCTAGCAGGCTTCTCTAGTACGGCCTCATTGCAACACTGGCAATGTCCTGACATGTAAAGACCTCATATATGTCTTTAGCTTTTACCAGTCTATGTTCCTTGACTTTAGGTGTCATGCTAGGTGATTTCAGTCAAGAAAGGTTTCAGGCTGATATCTATCATGGAACCTTTGACTTAATGGATGAGAAAGGGTGCCCTTTGGGTGATCTTTCATGCTTTTAGAGGCATCCTTGCTTCAGCCTCCAATATGCACAGACTGAGTTTGTGAATTTCCCTAAATTACTGCCCATGTTCCTCATAATACAGGATATAGACCCAAGGGGATCAGCTCTCCAGACACCTATAGGAGGTGTCTGTCCCCTATGCTGTCAGTACTCGAATCTCTCACTCTTGGCCTGGTCTGACTTGTCTCTTCTTTCCTGGGGACATGAGCCTATGATCTAAGGAGTCTTGTAGCTAGAGTTTTCCTGCCTGGCCCACAGTCAAGACAAATCTCTCTCACCTGCCGGTCCCACAGCCCCTCAGACCCGACCAAGTAAACACAGAGACTTATATTGGTTACAAACTGTATGGCCATGGCAGGCTTCTTGCTAACTGTTCTTACAGCTTAAATTTATCCATTTCCATTCATCTATACCTTGCCACATGGCTCGTGGCTTACCGGCATCTTCACATGCTGCTTATCATCGTGGCGGCTGGCAGTGTCTCTCTGACTCAGCCTTCCACTTCCCAGCTTTATTCTCCTCCTTGTCCCGCCTACACTTCCTGCCTAGCCAATGGCCAATCAGTGTTTTATTTATTGACTAATCAGCAACACATTTGCCATACAGACCATCCCACAGCACATTTGCCATACAGAACATCCCACAGCAGAGTCTCTCTTCTCTAAGTGGCTTTACTTTTTCTACTTCAGTAGGCTCACAGCCCAGGCCCATCCGAACTACGTCTGCTTCTCTTGGATTCTCTCATTCTGCAGCTTTTTTTTTTTTTGACTTCCTATTGTGCACTATATCTGTAGGTTCAATGCATACTGTCCTCTTCTAACCCGTGTGTGGCAGAGAGACAGGATTCTACTTCTAGCCCCCCAACTTTCAATTTCCGTTCTTGTTACCTCTTGCTGACCTCTCTCTCTCTCCAGCCACTTCTCTTTCATTATTGGCATGTTTCTTGGTCTGGAAAACCTTGGAGGCCTATGTGGTCCTGTAGCTAGAGTTTTCCTGCCTGGCCCACAGTCAGGACAAATCTCTCTCACCTGCCAGTCCCACAGCCATCAGACCCAACCAAGTAAACACAGAGACTTATATTGGTTACAAACTGTATGGCCATGGCAGGCTTCTTGCTAACTGTTCTTACAGCTTAAATTAATCCATTTCTATTAATCTATACCTTGCCACGTGGCTTGTGGCTTACCGGTACTTTACATCTTCCTTGTCCTGATGGTGGCTGGCAGTGTCTCTCTCACCCAGCTTCCTGTTCTCTCAATTCTCCTCTCTGTTAGTCCCGCCTATACTTCCTGCCTGGCCACTGACCAATCAGTGATTTATTCATTGACCAATCAGCAACACATTTGACATACAGACCATCCCACAGCACTTCCCCTTTTCTTTTCTTAAAAAGGAAGGTTTTAACCTTTACACATCTCCAAAGTCAGCTTGGTATATTTGGGAATTTGGGCGTAGCTTCTCTTACTGCTTCCTGCTGGAGGGGGGGCGCTGTATCTTATGGGGACACAAAGAATATTTTAGGGTTATGGAGTAGTCCATGAGGGTGTATCGTCTGAGCCAGTTGCCTTGAAACGGTTCTGGATGTTGGATCATCTGGGCCATGGTGTCATCGGAGACCTTTCAGGGGGTCTTGGCTGGTCAAACCTGATGTGTCTTAATCTGGAACAAATCCATAGCCTCTGGCTTTCTGTGGAAACAAAAGCAGAGCCTCCTTTCCAAAGCAACATATCCTTACATCCAAATTTTGAAGTCAAGGTACCTTTAAAATATACATTTTGGCATAACTCAACAGCTTTTGTAATCAAATGTTTTTCTTTAGTTACGAATATCAAACAGAACATAATCCAGATTCTCTGTGTGGTAGCCATCTTTACGTGGCTTATTTTTTTATAGTAGCTTGAGCCTATTGCTTTGAACTGTAGCCTTCTAAGCCTGAAACGGCGCTGGCGCTGCTGGCTCCGCCCACTTCAGCTTCCCAACATGGCGGTGATACGTTTTCCGCCAGCTCTGGGAGCCATCAACTCTCAGAAATAGTGGGTCTATGCTTCTATCAAAGCAGCGTGTAGCCCAGAAACCTCTTATTTTTTTTGTTTTGTACTAGCAAAGGCTAAATCCACCACACAGTTTAATGTGCCACTTGCAGAGGCCTCATTCCCACCATACTGCAGGTCGAGCATGCACGCACGCTAGGAACCCGTCAGTAGCTCAAACCGGCAGGCTGCCGCTAACTTGAAAGAGACAACTAGGAACTGTTTTTAGCTCCATTTTAGAATCTTTTTTCTCAGGTTTTAGGTGGAAACTCTTGCCACCACGTTGGACGCCATTTGTAGCTAGAGTTTTCCTGCCTGGCCCACATTCAGGACAAATCTCTCTCACCTGCCAGTCCCACAGCCATCAGACCCAACCAAGTAAACACAGAGACTTATATTGGTTACAAACTGTATGGCCATGGCAGGCTTCTTGCTAACTGTTCTTACAGCTTAAATTAATCCATTTCTATTAATCTATACCTTGCCACGTGGCTTGTGGCTTACCGGTACTTTACATCTTCCTTGTCCTGATGGCGGCTGGCAGTGTCTCTCTCACCCAGCTTCCTGTTCTCTCAATTCTCCTCTCTGTTAGTCCCGCCTATACTTCCTGCCTGGCCACTGACCAATCAGTGATTTATTCATTGACCAATCAGCAACACATTTGACATACAGACCATCCCACAGCATGGTCCATTTTTCCAGTTACTTTATTGGTTATTTTGTATACTGGAACACGTTGTCCAGGCAATGTGGACTAATTCCCATACTGTTCTCATCTTGTCCTGGGTGTTCTAGGTCTTTCTGTAATCATTTATTGTCTCACAAAGCTCATGATTTGAAAAGATCAGTGGAGAGAACAGAAAAGACCCCTTTTCAGAAATATATGTCTGGAAAGTCAGTTGACGCTCTAGAAAGGGTATGGATCAGACCTTTATTACATGTACATAGGTAAAAGTCTGGTGGCCAGCTGAGGTTGATGAGAGTAGCAGTTATCCTGTGCTTAAATCATCTCAGAGACTGATTGAACTCTGTGATTTCTATCATAAGGTTAGCTTTCTGTGGTTGGTGCGTAGCAGTAAAAGCACTTGTTGTAAAGACTGAGATCAATACTTTGAACCTGGAACCTACATGGTTGACTGAGAGAACCAGGTACAGAAGGTTCACTTCTGCTAGAGCACTGCCAGCTGTTGAGCCTCCCAAATAAAATAAATGTAAAAATAAATTTTTTGAAACATTTATTTAATCTTTACATGATATAACTATTCTTTTACACTGCTTTAGATTCAGATTCCCTAGAAAGAAAAATATATCTGTTCCTCATTTCTCTCCAGACATGCACGGGGCCTTAATTTGTCTTCCTGGAAGACATTCCAGCAACAACCCAACCATATTTTCCATTAGATTTAGTTGCCATGGAAGAATCCTCTTGTACACTGTAAAGATTTGTCACTTGAATTGATTTAATAAAAGGATAATTGGCCAGTAGCCAGGCAGGGTGACCAAACTAAGAATGCTGGAAAGAGGAAGGGAAAAGTCAGGAGTCCCAAGCGAGACCCAGAGGAAGCAAGATGAGAATGCTGTATGGAGAAAGGTACCAAGCCACGTGGCTGCCTATAGATAAGAATTATGGGTTAATAAAAGTGAAAGAGCAAGGTATTAATAAGCCTAAGCTATCAGCCAAGCATTTGTAAATAATATTAAGCCTCTGAGTCAATTATTTCAAAAACAACTGCTGAATATTTGGGTGTTGCTGATAGAATAGAAAAGTCTGATTACAATTAATCCCATGTACTAAGTCCATGCAGTTTTATCCACATCAATCAAAAATGCCCTGTAAATAATAATAAGTCCTGTGAGCTGAGAGTCGCTTTCTTTCCCCTAGTGTACCCTGAAACTTCTACCAGTGCCAATTCACCAAACAGCGTACCAGATCTACCAAAGAGGATGGTGAAGGTAAGAGGCCTTCCCTTGCCTGAGGTAGAAAGGTTACCTCAGTGGTCCCCTTGTGTTTCAGTGGGTATCACATTTCATTCATTAAACTGATCTGAGTCATCACGGACATTAGAGAGTTTATTTAGGAAGAGGAGGGAATGGAACTGTACCAACTTGGTCTTGATCAAGACAGCACACATCACAATGTGGCACAACTTTGTGTCCTGCTTTATGAGTGATCCCATCAAGGTGGGTGCCTCTAGTTTACACCAGTCCTCATGGTTGAAAGATCCTCTGAACATCCTCAAGCTGGACACACTAAGCTTCCAACCATATACTCAAGTTCTTTGTAAACCATAGCCTAGAAACAGAAAATACCTTAGTGAAACATATAAGTTTTTATAGATGGTATGTGACATAGTTTTGCAACCCTCTATAGGCCAGATAGGTTTACCTGATCTGCCATTGAATAAGAAAAAGTATGCCCACTACTAGTTTGTATCACAAAGGACAGAGTCCCAGATCTCTGTGACATCATCGAATAACGTACCCATTAATATAGTCTCCTTGTTACTGCTCTTCTCTGTCCTGATTTCAATCACTCGATGTTAAGGGAAAAAGGCTTTGTAGACATTACTCAGCATGATCATGGCATTAAATATTTTCTTTCCTGTTGATTGCAGGTGATGTCTAAAAAGAACAGACATGGTATGTATTATGGGATCATTTTCCTAAGACACACACCTTAGGTGGGAATTGTGAAAAAACTGGTTGTATTTTGTGTGATACACCACTGTGATGTAAGATACCGAACGATATGAGAATTGCTGTGTTAGATTTTTTTTCTTAGTTTCTTTTAAAGGCAAGGACCACACCAGGTAAGTAATCATGGATATGTCTATGGTCCTTGTGTTCAACAGTAATCCTTTGTTATTTGAGGGTATTGTACTTCAATTCTTGTTTAAATCTGTTTTTCCCCCAAGAGTAGGATGGCGTTTTCACAACCCAATTTCCAGTTACAGATATGTAAATTGAAAATCAGAGCACAGGTAAACTACAAAAATGTGTTCAAACCTCATCTCAGATATGCAGGGTCAGTTACATGCTTGTGTTCCTTCATAAATGGGTTAACCAGAACTCAAGAGGTAGTGATGAGGCTCCTTAACTGTGCATCTTAAGAGCCACTTCTTACCTCATCAAGGGCACAGTAATCCCCGTGGAGAGCTCTGCCTTCTTACATCTGCCTGCAGTAAGGCAAATCGATAGGGATCCCAAACACTGCAATGACTGCTGTAGTGGTTAGAAGTCCTAGGAAGTGTCATTCAGCATGCAGCAGTCACTGCTTTGAAAGGTAGAGAAGCATAGTGCTTCTTTTAAGATGACAGAGTCCCAAAATTAAATAAAGGACATGGGACAGTGGGGTGGATAGTTCTAAAATGGGTTTTGGATCTAGAGAAAAGCATGAACAAATTATACAACAGAAGCATGGGCCCAAAGAGGAACACAATTTAAGGACAATGTGCACTGAGAACTGCAATCACCAACTGAAGGTTGATGTGTACTACCTCATTCTCTGAGAATACATTGCTTTTGGGGGCGGGGTGCAGGGACTCACAGTTTGTCCTTATCTATACTGGAACTACCTACTTATGTACCATACTGGCCTAGAACTCACAGAGCTTCACCTCCTCTGCCTACAGAGAACTGTTATGAAAGTAGTGCACTCCATATCCAGTGGGAATACATCTTTAAATGTATTGGTTGGGTACACTCTGCTTCATGTGTTTTTCCTCTCAGGGTTGGTCAGTCCCTGTGATTTGAAGGTGAGCACTCATTAGGTACATGTGTTCAGCAGGGAAACACAACACTGTCACACTGCCATGAATTTAGGACTTGCCTACACCACCAGTGCAGTGCATGCAGGAGTGTGCAGTGCACTCTCAGTGATCCTCCTGAAACACCACTGTGACTCTGATGACGGTGCCTGGAGAAAGGGCATGATATGGAGTGTACTAAAACAGAGTGGTTTCCTCTCTATTCTGCCACGAAACTGACATAACTGTCTCTGCTGTTAATGCATTTTAGTTTCCATAATTAAATGGAGGCTCTTTAGGAGAGGAACCGGTTTTCCAACGGATGTTGAAGTACCTCAAGTCCAGGCAGACACTTCTGTAGAAGTACCAGAAAGCGAAACAGAAGGTACTGTTGAAATGCATTAATCTCATTGGGTGACATACAGTAGTTGTAAATCATTATTGTACGATAAGAGGGAAAGATGATGACCTTAGCATTAGTTTCCTATGTAGGTAATGTTGACTTGTATAGTTCCTCAGTTGAAATTCAACCACACGATTTAAGAATGAAATGTAAATTCACCTTTTGCAAACATTGAGTAACAAGAAACAGAGGAAAGGTGAGCTCAATCTTGTCTCTGTCACCGTCCCTTCACCTGGTGTAGGCAGGAATAGGTGAGGCAACCTCTCTGTTACTTTCTCCCAGACACCTGCAGTGTGATGAACTGAATGTAAACAAGCTCAGGATTGACATGGTTATTGTCAAAACTGTCAAGAGTTAGCACAAAATTTCATACAGATAACAGCATTTCTGGTGTGACCAAAGGGGATTCAGTCCCTGGAGTAGTGTGTCACACCCTGTGCTTATGGGAAAGAACAGAGACAAGGTCATGGAAGGAGGTTTCTGTGTTCTTCCTTTTCACAGGCATCATGGTAGTCTTGTCAGGAATAATATTCTTGCGTTCATCTCTGTCATTTGAAGGCAGTCTTTCAACACTTAGTGTTCATCAGCATTTATCACTACCAAGTGTCCAAGCCTGTCACTGTGCTTAGTAGCTCTCCATGGAATTTGTGCATAAGGTACTTTCCCTGTTTGTGTGATGAAATACTATGACCCAAACATGCCAAAGGAGGAGTGCTTGTCTTCCCATGATACCATGAGTATGGTGTGCATATTTGCTGAGCAACCAGAGATACAGGAGCCTGAGGCAGAGGTCCAGTGCAACAGAAATGGAGAAAAGGAGTGTTTCTTTATGCTCAGCTCGCCTTCTCCTTCTATAGTCATGGATCTCAGTCCCAGGAATACTGCACTAACAGCTGAACCATTTTCTACCTCAGTTAACCTTGTCAAGATAATGCCATGCAGGCATCACCAGAGCCCTGACCTTATCAGTTGACTACTGATATTTGCCATCACAATGCCCACAAACAGTTTGGAGTTTCAGTCTACAATAAAGCCAGTCTCTCTGGTGAGGACAACTTGCTCCTGTGCATTCAAATGTATGTATAAATTTCTTACCAAGTGGTCCTGGTGATACAGAATAATCAGATCCTGTCCCTGGTTCCCCTGGGACATTTGTGGTAGTGTCTTCTTGGTCTTCTGTTGATCATTTAGGCCATCTTTAAAGGACAACCAAAGGTTAGACAGCTAACTAGCTAGCAGGCTTCTCTAGTACGGCCTCATTGCAACACTGGCAATGTCCTGACATGTAAAGACCTCATATATGTCTTTAGCTTTTACCAGTCTATGTTCCTTGACTTTAGGTGTCATGCTAGGTGATTTCAGTCAAGAAAGGTTTCAGGCTGATATCTATCATGGAACCTTTGACTTAATGGATGAGAAAGGGTGCCCTTTGGGTGATCTTTCATGCTTTTAGAGGCATCCTTGCTTCAGCCTCCAATATGCACAGACTGAGTTTGTGAATTTCCCTAAATTACTGCCCATGTTCCTCATAATACAGGATATAGACCCAAGGGGATCAGCTCTCCAGACACCTATAGGAGGTGTCTGTCCCCTATGCTGTCAGTACTCGAATCTCTCACTCTTGGCCTGGTCTGACTTGTCTCTTCTTTCCTGGGGACATGAGCCTATGATCTAAGGAGTCTTGTAGCTAGAGTTTTCCTGCCTGGCCCACAGTCAAGACAAATCTCTCTCACCTGCCGGTCCCACAGCCCCTCAGACCCGACCAAGTAAACACAGAGACTTATATTGGTTACAAACTGTATGGCCATGGCAGGCTTCTTGCTAACTGTTCTTACAGCTTAAATTTATCCATTTCCATTCATCTATACCTTGCCACATGGCTCGTGGCTTACCGGCATCTTCACATGCTGCTTATCATCGTGGCGGCTGGCAGTGTCTCTCTGACTCAGCCTTCCACTTCCCAGCTTTATTCTCCTCCTTGTCCCGCCTACACTTCCTGCCTAGCCAATGGCCAATCAGTGTTTTATTTATTGACTAATCAGCAACACATTTGCCATACAGACCATCCCACAGCACATTTGCCATACAGAACATCCCACAGCAGAGTCTCTCTTCTCTAAGTGGCTTTACTTTTTCTACTTCAGTAGGCTCACAGCCCAGGCCCATCCGAACTACGTCTGCTTCTCTTGGATTCTCTCATTCTGCAGCTTTTTTTTTTTTTGACTTCCTATTGTGCACTATATCTGTAGGTTCAATGCATACTGTCCTCTTCTAACCCGTGTGTGGCAGAGAGACAGGATTCTACTTCTAGCCCCCCAACTTTCAATTTCCGTTCTTGTTACCTCTTGCTGACCTCTCTCTCTCTCCAGCCACTTCTCTTTCATTATTGGCATGTTTCTTGGTCTGGAAAACCTTGGAGGCCTATGTGGTCCTGTAGCTAGAGTTTTCCTGCCTGGCCCACAGTCAGGACAAATCTCTCTCACCTGCCAGTCCCACAGCCATCAGACCCAACCAAGTAAACACAGAGACTTATATTGGTTACAAACTGTATGGCCATGGCAGGCTTCTTGCTAACTGTTCTTACAGCTTAAATTAATCCATTTCTATTAATCTATACCTTGCCACGTGGCTTGTGGCTTACCGGTACTTTACATCTTCCTTGTCCTGATGGTGGCTGGCAGTGTCTCTCTCACCCAGCTTCCTGTTCTCTCAATTCTCCTCTCTGTTAGTCCCGCCTATACTTCCTGCCTGGCCACTGACCAATCAGTGATTTATTCATTGACCAATCAGCAACACATTTGACATACAGACCATCCCACAGCATGGTCCATTTTTCCAGTTACTTTATTGGTTATTTTGTATACTGGAACACGTTGTCCAGGCAATGTGGACTAATTCTAATTTCCATACTGTTCTCATCTTGTCCTGGGTGTTCTAGGTCTTTCTGTAATCATTTATTGTCTCACAAAGCTCATGATTTGAAAAGATCAGTGGAGAGAACAGAAAAGACCCCTTTTCAGAAATATATGTCTGGAAAGTCAGTTGACGCTCTAGAAAGGGTATGGATCAGACCTTTATTACATGTACATAGGTAAAAGTCTGGTGGCCAGCTGAGGTTGATGAGAGTAGCAGTTATCCTGTGCTTAAATCATCTCAGAGACTGATTGAACTCTGTGATTTCTATCATAAGGTTAGCTTTCTGTGGTTGGTGCGTAGCAGTAAAAGCACTTGTTGTAAAGACTGAGATCAATACTTTGAACCTGGAACCTACATGGTTGACTGAGAGAACCAGGTACAGAAGGTTCACTTCTGCTAGAGCACTGCCAGCTGTTGAGCCTCCCAAATAAAATAAATGTAAAAATAAATTTTTTGAAACATTTATTTAATCTTTACATGATATAACTATTCTTTTACACTGCTTTAGATTCAGATTCCCTAGAAAGAAAAATATATCTGTTCCTCATTTCTCTCCAGACATGCACGGGGCCTTAATTTGTCTTCCTGGAAGACATTCCAGCAACAACCCAACCATATTTTCCATTAGATTTAGTTGCCATGGAAGAATCCTCTTGTACACTGTAAAGATTTGTCACTTGAATTGATTTAATAAAAGGATAATTGGCCAGTAGCCAGGCAGGGTGACCAAACTAAGAATGCTGGAAAGAGGAAGGGAAAAGTCAGGAGTCCCAAGCGAGACCCAGAGGAAGCAAGATGAGAATGCTGTATGGAGAAAGGTACCAAGCCACGTGGCTGCCTATAGATAAGAATTATGGGTTAATAAAAGTGAAAGAGCAAGGTATTAATAAGCCTAAGCTATCAGCCAAGCATTTGTAAATAATATTAAGCCTCTGAGTCAATTATTTCAAAAACAACTGCTGAATATTTGGGTGTTGCTGATAGAATAGAAAAGTCTGATTACAATTAATCCCATGTACTAAGTCCATGCAGTTTTATCCACATCAATCAAAAATGCCCTGTAAATAATAATAAGTCCTGTGAGCTGAGAGTCGCTTTCTTTCCCCTAGTGTACCCTGAAACTTCTACCAGTGCCAATTCACCAAACAGCGTACCAGATCTACCAAAGAGGATGGTGAAGGTAAGAGGCCTTCCCTTGCCTGAGGTAGAAAGGTTACCTCAGTGGTCCCCTTGTGTTTCAGTGGGTATCACATTTCATTCATTAAACTGATCTGAGTCATCACGGACATTAGAGAGTTTATTTAGGAAGAGGAGGGAATGGAACTGTACCAACTTGGTCTTGATCAAGACAGCACACATCACAATGTGGCACAACTTTGTGTCCTGCTTTATGAGTGATCCCATCAAGGTGGGTGCCTCTAGTTTACACCAGTCCTCATGGTTGAAAGATCCTCTGAACATCCTCAAGCTGGACACACTAAGCTTCCAACCATATACTCAAGTTCTTTGTAAACCATAGCCTAGAAACAGAAAATACCTTAGTGAAACATATAAGTTTTTATAGATGGTATGTGACATAGTTTTGCAACCCTCTATAGGCCAGATAGGTTTACCTGATCTGCCATTGAATAAGAAAAAGTATGCCCACTACTAGTTTGTATCACAAAGGACAGAGTCCCAGATCTCTGTGACATCATCGAATAACGTACCCATTAATATAGTCTCCTTGTTACTGCTCTTCTCTGTCCTGATTTCAATCACTCGATGTTAAGGGAAAAAGGCTTTGTAGACATTACTCAGCATGATCATGGCATTAAATATTTTCTTTCCTGTTGATTGCAGGTGATGTCTAAAAAGAACAGACGTGGTATGTATTATGGGATCATTTTCCTAAGACACACACCTTAGGTGGGAATTGTGAAAAAACTGGTTGTATTTTGTGTGATACACCACTGTGATGTAAGATACCGAACGATATGAGAATTGCTGTGTTAGATTTTTTTTCTTAGTTTCTTTTAAAGGCAAGGACCACACCAGGTAAGTAATCATGGATATGTCTATGGTCCTTGTGTTCAACAGTAATCCTTTGTTATTTGAGGGTATTGTACTTCAATTCTTGTTTAAATCTGTTTTTCCCCCAAGAGTAGGATGGCGTTTTCACAACCCAATTTCCAGTTACAGATATGTAAATTGAAAATCAGAGCACAGGTAAACTACAAAAATGTGTTCAAACCTCATCTCAGATATGCAGGGTCAGTTACATGCTTGTGTTCCTTCATAAATGGGTTAACCAGAACTCAAGAGGTAGTGATGAGGCTCCTTAACTGTGCATCTTAAGAGCCACTTCTTACCTCATCAAGGGCACAGTAATCCCCGTGGAGAGCTCTGCCTTCTTACATCTGCCTGCAGTAAGGCAAATCGATAGGGATCCCAAACACTGCAATGACTGCTGTAGTGGTTAGAAGTCCTAGGAAGTGTCATTCAGCATGCAGCAGTCACTGCTTTGAAAGGTAGAGAAGCATAGTGCTTCTTTTAAGATGACAGAGTCCCAAAATTAAATAAAGGACATGGGACAGTGGGGTGGATAGTTCTAAAATGGGTTTTGGATCTAGAGAAAAGCATGAACAAATTATACAACAGAAGCATGGGCCCAAAGAGGAACACAATTTAAGGACAATGTGCACTGAGAACTGCAATCACCAACTGAAGGTTGATGTGTACTACCTCATTCTCTGAGAATACATTGCTTTTGGGGGCGGGGTGCAGGGACTCACAGTTTGTCCTTATCTATACTGGAACTACCTACTTATGTACCATACTGGCCTAGAACTCACAGAGCTTCACCTCCTCTGCCTACAGAGAACTGTTATGAAAGTAGTGCACTCCATATCCAGTGGGAATACATCTTTAAATGTATTGGTTGGGTACACTCTGCTTCATGTGTTTTTCCTCTCAGGGTTGGTCAGTCCCTGTGATTTGAAGGTGAGCACTCATTAGGTACATGTGTTCAGCAGGGAAACACAACACTGTCACACTGCCATGAATTTAGGACTTGCCTACACCACCAGTGCAGTGCATGCAGGAGTGTGCAGTGCACTCTCAGTGATCCTCCTGAAACACCACTGTGACTCTGATGACGGTGCCTGGAGAAAGGGCATGATATGGAGTGTACTAAAACAGAGTGGTTTCCTCTCTATTCTGCCACGAAACTGACATAACTGTCTCTGCTGTTAATGCATTTTAGTTTCCATAATTAAATGGAGGCTCTTTAGGAGAGGAACCGGTTTTCCAACGGATGTTGAAGTACCTCAAGTCCAGGCAGACACTTCTGTAGAAGTACCAGAAAGCGAAACAGAAGTTACTGTTGAAATGCATTAATCTCATTGGGTGACATACAGTAGTTGTAAATCATTATTGTACGATAAGAGGGAAAGATGATGACCTTAGCATTAGTTTCCTATGTAGATAATGTTGACTTGTATAGTTCCTCAGTTGAAATTCAACCACACGATTTAAGAATGAAATGTAAATTCACCTTTTGCAAACATTGAGTAACAAGAAACAGAGGAAAGGTGAGCTCAATCTTGTCTCTGTCACCGTCCCTTCACCTGGTGTAGGCAGGAATAGGTGAGGCAACCTCTCTGTTACTTTCTCCCAGACACCTGCAGTG